TCGAAATCATATTATTATTATTAGGTAGCGAAATAATAATTTTCTTTTATGGTTATTAAATGTTCAACAAGGTTATCCACCTTAGAATTAATAAATGTTTCGTAAAGTTATTATATATGGTTATTACATTGTATTTATTTGTGAGGCACGAAGTCAGGCCATACTAACACAGCAAGTGTTTACAGATCATGCTTAGCCTCAGTTCAATGATTATTATAGATAATAAACGGAGTCATCAATAGATTTTAACTTTCAAAAGAATATAAAGGTAACGCTATAGCCAAAACAGGAGATTTACTGCAAAATCAGTAGACTTGGCAACACTGAACACGATATGCAGTAGATTGATTCGCAATATCCGCAGTTTAATTGCATTACGACGTCGTTATGAAAGATTCGATTTTCTTGCTCGTGGCATTGTAGATGATACTCTGATGGATATTGTTGACTCTGCTTCTATGATGGCATAACAATTATTCGTGCACTCACAATCACATATATGTGTGTGTTCGTGTACGCGTGCGAGTACTCGTGGGAGTACGCGTGCGAGTACGCGCGCGCGCGTGTGTGTGTGTGTGACATTTCTCATAGATAATTTAGAATTGTTTCATCAATTTATTTTTAATCTATAGTTACCTCTAGAGTTCCTATTTTTACATGAATCAATTTTTTTCAGATGGTACTTCCGAAAGATTAAGCGCATAGAAGCAGAAAAGAAGTTACTACTACCAGAAAACGAACATGGAGCATTTCTAATCAGAGATTCTGAGAGCAGACATAACGACTATTCTCTGTCAGGTAAGTTAGTCGTTATCAGAAATCTTTTGGTTACTAAGATATTGTTGAAGTTAACGGGAGTAAACGTCTTCTCAAAAATTGCTCGTGGTTCCACAATAAATTTTGAAGAAATTTGCAAAAAAACGTAGAAAAGAATATATTTTTCATCACTACATTTCCTAATAATAGGAACCATATACAGTGTGTAAAAGTCAAATGGAATAAATTCATTATTTCGGTACATATTTTAAATCCCGAAACACGTCAAATTTAAATTATAATTTGACCTACTTCAACGGAAAAATGCTACCCTTACCTTCAACCCCCGTCGAATGACAGCTACAACCCCAATTTTAAAAAAATGAGAAGTATAGGCTTGTGATATATCGTTTGAAAGTTCTCTTCATTCTCTATTCAATAATGTTATCGCTTTCAAGTTTATTGCAACAATTAAAATAAAAAAAATTAAAATGATGGAGTTACCGAAATTCGATAGAATTCACTCAAAACTCATTGCAATATACTCTAAACTTATTTCATGTTGAGGTATTGATAATAAGAAAGTATGCAAAAACCATATAGCAATGTTCTTTTTAGATGGTATCCTTTAAAAAACTGTAAATAATTTCTGTGGCAACGTTAGTTTGAAACGCCTTGTCAACTTGTTTTGAATGTTACAACATTATTTGTCAGTATTTTAATTTAAGTTTAAAGTTCATAACGAACTTCATAAGACTTGAAGATAACCTTCAAGTCTGACAAATGGTTAGATTAATGGAAATGCTCAAAATAACAGTTTAACCAATGATTGATTACGGAGATAAAACCCGAACACAACAGGAAGTAGGTCGCCTATTTCATGAGGAATTTCCTAATTTACCGCCCATATCTCAAGGAACAATAAGCAAAATAGAGAAGCAGTTTCGCGAGCTTACTCATGTGGGGCAGATAAAAAAGCAGCTGCCAATGCAATGAGTGATGAACTCAAATTAGATGTGATGCTTGAGTATGAGTAAAATCCACATAAATCGAGTAGACAGGCATCCACTACATTCAATGTTAGCCATACATCGATACTAAACATATTAAAAGAAAATAAAATTCATTCCTTTGAAATGGTAGCTACTCAGGAGCTCATGGAAGACAATTTTGATTGAAGAACTTATTTTTGTGAGCAAATGATGGACATGGACGTCTTCGGGAAGAAATCAAAAGAGCCATTAGAATAGCTTATAAAAAATCCATTCAGAAAAATGAGAGCGGGATTATCCATACCCCAATCAGTTTTGGTCATTCATTAACAAGTCAAAATATACGAATGGAATCGGAGATAAAATGTTACATGACGGCAAGCTACTCGATAATCCCTCAGATATTCTTGATGGTTTTGCAGATTTCTTCAGTGGTTCTTATATAGTGTCAATATCAAGTAACCATGCGAACAATAGTAGTGATATTCCCAGCTTAGTAATCAAAAACTTTAGTATTGAAGATGTTTATCATATCCCAAAAAAATTAAATCCTAAATTTACTACGGGATCTGATCATACTCCAGCATTCTTCATTAAAAATTGTACCTCAGCTCTGGTTGAACAACTCTTAATTAATATATGCCTGAAAACATCAACTGTACCATCAATATGGAAAATGTCGAAAGTCTGCCCAATTTTCAAAAAAGGAGATGAAAAATTACAGACCAATTTCTATCATAAATATGCAACTTTTGTGAAGTGTCATGTCAGCAACATTATTAGCCCCAATCAACACGGTTTCATGAAAGAACGTTCAACCACCACCAATCTTGTAACAATCACTCAATGTATTGCAGAGGGTATTGATTGTCAGTCTCAGACTGATGTCATCTACACTGATTTTTCTAAAGCGTTCGACAGACTTTTAACCATAGTATCCTGATCAACAACCTTTCGACTTTTGGATTATCCAATGTTGGATAACAGTATCATCCAATTAGAGAACGTTTTGGTTTCTGATGAGTGTACAGTGTCTCTTAACGGTCATGCAAATCGCCAATATTGCCACTACTGGTCAACGGAAAATCCTCACTGGATGAGAGAAAATCACACGCAATAGTCTGAAAAGGTTAATGTTTTGGCAGGGATTGTAGAAAATCATATCATTTGTCCCTTTTTCATTGAGGGCATCTTAAATGGTGATATGGTTTCAGCAGGATGGAGCACCACCATATTACCAAGTTAATGTCCGGCAATACCTCAATAGAACATTTCTCAATCGGTGTATAAGGGAGGCGAGGATCGATTGAATGGCCAGCGCGATCACCAGATCTTTCATCATTAGATTTTTTTAAGGGGATATCTAAATAACAATGTGTACAAAACTAAACTTTCGGATTTGAATGACTTAAAAGAACGAATAACGCTTGCGACACAGTTTTATTTGAGATTAGGATGTTGCCAAGACGTTCGCGGTGAACACTTTGAACATCTACTTCGTTAACATCCATAGTTTTTTTCGTATTCTACATTTCATTACGTTTTAGTTTTTGAGTGTATTTTATCGAATTTTGGTAGCTGCTGTTAGCCACGTACTTCCAATATACAAGGAGGATACTTTTTCGATGAATGATGACCAATTGAATGAAGAAGAAAAATCCATAATAAATTCAAGAGTTTGCGAAATACAAAGCAAAAACCGTAATACTACATTTTCACTTTATCCCTCTTGGGGCCATATTTTTCAAAATAATCTAGAAAGTCACTAAATAACATTTTTCATAGGACGTTTCGTGATTTCTGGCTCTCCATCTAATGAATACGGACCTGGATATTTTTCCATCTCTTTCGTTAGGTAATTATCTCGTGCATACATGATATTACAAAATTACAAGCGGGCCAAGTCAGTCGAACACTTTCTGTGATAGTGTTTTGAGAAGAAACAAATCCCAAGCCTTTCTTCTAATTTCCAGCCTCCCATTATGGGGATGGAACTATACATGATACAACTTAGCATCCTCAGGATATGGTTAGGGGCTGAACTCTATACTTCGAGCCTCTACCTGAAGTAATATTGTAAAAATCTCTTACTTTTTTGGCAAAAGTTAAGTTTCTCTATGTCTCGATCCATATGTTATATATTAAATATCTTGAAAATGGATAAAATTACTTTAAAATGAGTTATATTACCTTTATTATTTATCATGAAATTCTCCGCAAAATGGTCTGACACTGTTTTCCTATAAATAAATCACCATTTTTTTCAAAATCTGCATTTAATTTATACTATGTACATGATGTTTCTTGATTACTATCAATTTTAAAAAGAAAAGTTCTTAAGACTCTTCAGTTTCGAAGTGATAACGGATATTTTTGTAGATATCGCAAACTGCTTATTTTGATAGAAGGTTAAGTTATATAATTGATTATTTCATGGAGATAACTGCTGAAAATACGAACTCAGTGATGCAAAAATGGGGGTTAGTGAAACATAAAAGTTGAAAAAATTCAATGAAAAATCGACTTCTTTAATGATATTTTGATTCTTCAGAAAACGTATCCATTTTTATAAAATTCCGGTATACTTGAATAAGCTCAGTGTAGTGTAGAAAATTTTATAAGGAAACAAGTTTTGTAATTGTTTAAAAATATGTTTTCCGTTAACCAGCTATCGCACCCCTACGAACGACAACCCTCAGAAGTCGAAACTTGTGCGAGGGCTTACCTTTTAACGTGTGATTCCTAACAATTGAATTGCTTTTCGAGTTTCTACTAAAATCGTCCATACATTTTATCCATATTTTTGTCCTTTACAGTTCGTGATGGAGATACTGTTAAGCATTATAGAATACGACAATTAGACGAAGGCGGATTTTTCATAGCACGAAGAACTACATTTAGGACTCTTCAAGAGTTAGTGCAACACTACAGCAATGATGCAGATGGCTTGTGTGTTAACCTTTGCAAACCTTGTGTGCAGGTAAGAGACACTAAGAATATAATGAATCATATCAACTCCAAAATTCAAAATCTAAGAAAAATATTTTGTGACAGCAGCTATTGGCTACATTTATTATTATTATTTGATTTCGTTCATTTATTAATGTCTACTTTATTTTTTTGTGCAGAGTAAGATACCTGAGGTATGTTGTTTTCATTTTCTCTGTCACCTTACCTTTCTATCATGTTTCTCAAGTTTTTGAGTTAATTTTAATGCATCTTATATTTTGTCGCATGTCAATTTCCATAATTAATCAGTTTGCCAACTGAAACGTTGAACATATTTAATAAATAATACATTCAAGTTTATGCTGTTTTGTCTTCCTATCCTCTGTAATTTTGTTTAATTCATCTTCCTTAGAATTATTATCAATTTGAATTACCATTGTCATATAGGAAAAGTCAATAGCTGTTTATTTTGCATGTTTACTATCACTGATAATAACAAGAGGTTGTTTATGAAACAAATTGAGAAATGCCATTAAATTGCTTGATATATTTATATTACTCATCAAATTTTACACAGCTGTACATATTCTTTGTTTCCCCATTTCAACTTATTCGTTTATAATATAACGTGAATTTTGAAGTTGAATTATTGAGAAACCTCTAGTCCCTTTTTGAAGAAATGAATTGAGGAAAAGTCCCTCCATAAAATTTCATAATAAGTATCTCTTGGAAAAACGTATCAGAAAATAAGTTTATAACAATTGAAATTGTTATTTCATGAATTCATATTGCAACACAGAGGAAACGATGGAATAAACTGAGATTGAAAAGTGAAAATTTAATTTAAAAAAAAACTTAACACATTTGTAGTTCCACAACATTTTTTAATAATAATTTTAGATCCTTCAGGATCACAAATCAGTCCAAATAATAATGAAATATTGATCAAAAATGTATTTTACACCCATGACATTTGAAAAACAAATTCAACACTTCTTTCTACGATTTTAACAAGACTTGAGAGTTGATAATTCTCCAGAGAAATCTCCAGATTACTCAGTCAGCAAGCAATTTTCAATATGTTAACGTATTTCAGGTGGAGAAACCCCAGCCTGAAGGTTTGTCTCACCGGACCCGAGATCAGTGGGAAATTGAGCGAACATCCTTGAAATTCATTCGAAAATTGGGTCATGGTCAGTTTGGAGAAGTTTGGGAAGGAATGTGGAACAATACCACAGCTGTCGCCATAAAGACTCTGAAACCGGGGACTATGGATCCCAAGGATTTCCTTGCCGAAGCACAGATAATGAAGAAATTGAGGCATCAGAAACTGATTCAATTATATGCTGTATGTACTGTTGAAGAACCCATTTACATCATCACAGAGTTAATGAGAAACGGTTCTTTATTGGAATTCCTACAAGGGAAAGGAAAAGGGCTGAAGTTAGCGCAGCTGATAGATATGGCTGCTCAGATAGCAACAGGAATGGCATACTTAGAATCTCAGAATTATATACACAGAGACCTTGCGGCAAGAAATGTTCTAGTAGCTGAACCACACGTTGTCAAGATTGCAGATTTCGGCCTGGCCAGATTAATTAAGGTAAATCATATTAAATTATATTTGTTCGTTAAGCCAAAACGATTTTGCGAGAATGAATGGTATAAATCAAATTTTTTTTTACAGGTATGTCAAATGCTGAAGTTCTGCATCAAGTCGAACACGGTTACAGAATGCCTTCACCACCTGGTTGCCCTCCAGCACTGTACGAAATCATGCTTGAATGCGCCTTTCCTTTTTATGTTGAAGAAATAAATTGATCAACTGGCCATTGTTTTGTTGAAGTTAAAAAAAAACGGTATTTAAAAAATATCATAAAAACCCTTACACTGATTTGGTGGAAATTTGCTACAGTTATTTGAAATTATGACACGTTTATTCAATCCCAACTAGATTGAAATTATTAGGTCCAGTAGATTCTTAGTGGGTACCACAGCCAACAATATTGGTAAAAAAAATACGCCACTGACTTGTTGTAATTTTTTATTTTTTTAGATTAAACAACTAAAAACTCGAATTGTCACTTGTATTTTCTTTATATCACCTTCGTTTTAGTGAAAAAAATAGTAGAGGAGTTTTACAAACAAGAGCCTTCAGATGACCCCATAAATAGAAATCTAGAGGATTCATATAAGGGCTGCGAGCTGGCCAATTTTGAGGTCCTGCACACCCGATCTAGCGATTTGGGTAGGCTAGCAATTAGGGTAGGTGATGTCGAGATACTGACGAGCAAGAACACTAAAATGAGCTGGAGCCCCGTCGTGCATAAAGCACATGTTGCCTCTTAGAGCCCCGTCGTGCATAAAGCACATGTTGCCTCTTAGAAGTACCGCCATTTCTAACAAAATGGGTAAATGATCTCCCAAAAAGTCCGTGTCGGATTCAATTGTTAATCTTGCTGGTAGAAAAAATGGGCCAATTAGGTACTCACCAATAATTCCTACCCAAACGTTCAGCCAAAATTGTTGCTGAAAATGACTTTATCTAATAACGTGAGGATTTTTGTCGGCCCAAAAATAGTTATTGTGAAAATTCATAATAGCATCTCTTAAAAAATTTGCTTCGTCCTTGAAATATTTCAAGGGGCTTACCTGCTGGTGAAATGGAAGTGTGCTATCAAAAAATAAACAAGTTATCCCGGAGAGCCACCTCAATTGATAAGAGTTGTCAGTTACTCACACACTATTGAATTATTATTACTAATGAAATAAATGAAATCACTTGCTATCATATTCTAAAACTACCAATAAAAATTCAACTTGATCGAGTCAATAAAATTTGAATTGATTATTATTGTGATTATATATCCATATACACAAGAACAGTTATGTAAATTCGGTGATTTTTTTGCAGGAAGATGAATATGAGGCCAGAGTTGGAGCAAGATTCCCCATAAAATGGACTGCACCTGAAGCTGCCAACTATAGCAAGTTCTCTATAAAATCTGATGTTTGGTCATTTGGAATTCTTCTAACTGAACTTGTTACATATGGACGGATACCATATCCAGGTATTTATTCTGATAGAAAATTCATTTTCTAATCAAAAAAAAGTTCAAATTTGCTATTACCAAAATTGAACCGATTTTTTATATTTATACAACAAAATAAATAATCGATCTTGGAATTCTTCTTTATTTTCTCTGGAATTGAATTATATATAATTATCCCATCTTGATATATCGACTTTTTTCAAAAATTTGTTTGTATTTCGTATAAAATTTCTAATCTTGTAATGAATTCCAATAAGAGGAGATATTTTCTTTTTAACTTTTTCAATATGTTTATTCCATGGCAATTTCTCATCAATCTATAAACCTAAAAATGTTGTTGTTTCTGTTGTTTTGTTGTTCTTATAGAATTATGATCAAACATAATCGAGTTATTTGAAGTGTTAATTGAGCTAAGGGAAATATTCATATATGAGCATTTATTGTTAGGAGATATTTTCCTTTTACTTTGAATGCCAGGGGCAGTAAAAGTTGTCACTTTTACTGGCACTGGCACCTCGATTTTGATAGAGGACAAATGTCAACTTCAGTGTGGAAATGTCAGTCACAAAACATTATACATTTTGGACATTTGAAGAAAAATTTGATTCTTTCAGCTATTATATGAATATCCGTTTTTCAAAAGCTAGATTTTATCTATTGATGAGACCCAACTGGTTGTATTTTTACATCCATTTAAGTGGAATTTCAAGTATTTTGGCACAAATCTTATTCCAAACTGAGGCTTTCTCAGCAAAAGTTATTCAGTACTTTTTCTAGATGAAGCAATTTAAACAAATACTACTACCACCCTCCACAACTGCAATACTCTTACCGACCAGTGTTTCACCAACCAAGGTGGCGGCATCAGGAGATGAACTTTCCTGATGACGCCAGTGTTTGTTTTGGATTCATTATACGCCAGAGGTTCCAGTTCTACCTTTAGATTGAACAATATCAAGCAGAGATAACGAATAAATTTTGACAGGAATTACTCAATCGATAATGAGATTATTGTCCACAAAATACACCTTATATCAATTTCTTTCATAAATGTTCACTTTGGAAACAGTTATTTCTGTATAATTTAATGTCTTTAAAGGAAAAGTAATTGTTTCATATGGAATTTTCATCAATATTTGTTACTTTTTTATGATATATAATGAGGATCAAGATAATCGAAGTTTCTCAAAGCAATTTTTTTTTCGTTAAGCCAAAACGATTTTGCGAGAATGAATGGTATAAATCAAATTTTTTTTTACAGGTATGTCAAATGCTGAAGTTCTGCATCAAGTCGAACACGGTTATAGAATGCCTTCACCACCTGGTTGCCCTCCAGCACTGTACGAAATCATGCTTGAATGCTGGAACAGGGATCCCATGCGCAGGCCTACCTTTGAAACACTTCAGTGGAAACTTGAAGACTTCTTCACTTTGGAAGGGTCGGAATATAAAGAAGCAACAGGTTACTGAGGTCACGCCCACCCCCCTGCCGATTGGTTGCGTAACTCGATAGAGGTGCACTACCACTGATAGGGAGGTGGATATCTATTTATCAATTGACAATAGATAGATATGCCGTACTTTTTCCTTCGTACTTTATTTGATATTCTCAGAACGATACTTTACTAGTTTTCCGTTCAGCCGATAGGTCTAATAAAAATAAGAAATCTACTCATTTGTTAAGTGCTTTTTTTCACATTTACATTGACTTACTTCACAGAGTGAACACTCATAGAAGGTAGTTTTTGTAAAGATATTTTTCTAATCTTTCAGATATATTTTTCAGACTTGAATGACTCATATGCTCAAAAATTAACAGCTCAATACATCTTATCGGTGAAAAACTAGTAACTGTCTGTGAGAAGAAACTAGATATTATTCAGACTCTTTACTTTGTATTTCAATTGCTGATAAAGATTTTCTCTCCGTGTTTTAAAATTTACAAAATTTTTCTTCAACTTTTTTGATTTTTTACTTGACCTCAGAGATATTCCGAAACTAATGTATTTATTTAATTTATTTTTAGTGAATTTTCTTCTCTTTTCTTTTTCAGTACATGCAACAAAGACTTGTACAAATATTCACTGAATTGACAATTATGTCATATTTCAATTTAGAGATCTTATTGAGGAAATTAAAATTTTCATAAAAAATAAGAAAATTGTTTTTCAGAAAGTGGTTTTCTTTTCTTCCTATATTTTTCTACATTGATCTCACAGAAAATAAGTACTTCACTGGTTAATATTTTCAGACCATCAGATTTGATAAACACTTATGCTAATTAGATCTTGATGAAATTTCTGACTGATTTTCAGTTTGAACAGTGACGATTTTCACTGCAAAACATAAAACTTAAAGATCAATGAAGTTATTTGCAAAAACTATTACATGAGAGAAATTATGTTTCTACCTGGTTTCATTTTGATATTTCTGTTCAGTTTTCATTATGTAAGACTATAAACTCATATTTGAAGTTGATGCCACTTGGAATATTCCTATAGGAGTTATAAACATAACTAATTTAGATATTGAGAGTGTCAGAAATTATACTTCAAATAACTGAAAAATTTGATTTTTTTTTTAGTTTTCCATTTAAATTTAATGCAGAAACGATCAATTTTAAGCTTTCTCAAAATTTCCTAATAAAATTGGGCAATCTTAGATTGGATATCCTGAAATGTGAGTGGCTTTGTATCCTTATCGCTTTGTGCTGGCATAAAACGTTTCTAAAACGCACAATTTCCTAATAGAACTGCCAAATGTTTAGTGTTTGGTGTGATGTAATGAAATAAATAAATAAAATGTTCGACAAAATTTCTATGGGATAATGGACAGTGCGCCTGCTCGCCGATCAGGTACAGGGGACTTTCTTACTTTTTCACCCCAATGTTCAAAAGCACAAATGTTATCTAAACTTGAAGTCCCCAATACCCTAACAAAACTAAGAGTCATTATTTAGTATTACTGTGTGTGATTGTGGCTTTGATTAAATGGAATATTATCTTTGTTGCGCTACATTCCTGTGATAAGTAGATTATATAAAGGGTGTAGCAAACTTGTAGGAACAGCTGCACTCTATGTATAATTTATTTAAAACTTTTTTCTTCGTTTTCCATTCTTGTGCCGTTAATAATGAAAGGTTACTATTTTTTAAACAACAAGAAAAATTATTTTCTGAATTTTTATCAATTTACATGCAGAATTTTTTAAACTGTTTCCTGTATTTTTAACGAATTAATGATATAATTATGTTGAGAACTCTGAAAGGCATTGTTTGTAGTTATAGACACATTATACAATATTTTTTGTATCATACACTGTAGATTATAGTTAATAAAATAATTGAGAATATACCTTTGAATTTTTTTTTATGCAATCTAATGAAGCGGAAGCTATTTATAACATCAAGAAAAAACTTTTGGATAAAAAGTTTGCATGATGTCAATGAATAACTGTTCAAAGAGTAATGTGTGTGGGATGGCTTTCCAAAGAAGTTGTCTGAACAGCAAAAAAACAGGATAATCAATGAAACATTAATAATGTGCTGCACCAATGAAATAAAATGAAGGGATAATATGTAGGATCAACTGAAAATTATATTTAACTAGTACTATGTTGCTGTATCGCTGCTGTTCCAATGTTTTGACAGAATCAGAATCAACGAACTTAGGCGTGCGCAGCGTTATAGAACAGTGCTTTCAAAAAATTGTTCTACAGCGCCATCTAGTGGCGAGTTACAGAAAAATTGATAGCCTAAAAACCTTCTCTATGAAAAATCATTTATACATTTCAAGTTTCATCAGGATCGGTTGAGCGATGTAGAAGTTTATCACTTACCAACCAACCAACAAACATCCATTTTTATATATTAGATTATTATAAAATATACAGAATTTTGGATTAATGATATATGTGTTCTGAAATATTTTTATGAATGAATCAATGAAACAGAAACATTTTGAATAGTCACTGTGTTGAAATTGATGGTGTCCTAAGTGTTCTCAGAACTGTGACCTCTGGTTTTCCTCAAGGCACTGTGCTGAGGCCACTTCTTTTCACTATGTATATGAATAGTCTGTTTTCTTTGAATACCACTGGTCAAACTATCAGTTTCGCCGATGATACTGCCATTTTTTACACTTCTTCAACTTGGCTAAATATGAAACAAACCGTTGAAGATGACTTTCCTTAAATTTCGGAATGGTTCCAATTCAATAGATTAACTGTTAATTACCAAAAACTTGGTCAATTTACATCTTATATTAGTGGATTTCTGAACTTAGGTCCCCTTAAAGTAGGCTTGAACAAACAAATTCCTTCAGCAACATCAGTGAAATACCTTGGTGTCACGATAGATCGACATATGAAGTGAAATTTACATATGCTACAACTTGTCAAAAAATTAAGAGGGTTTCTTCCGAAATTTAGATATCTCAAAGAATTTATAGACAATGGACAATTAAAAATGATGTATTTTTCTCTAGTACAATCACATTTTACATACGGAATTTTAGGATGGGGGGGGAGGAGGTTAGTGATTGTTCTACAGAAAAAGTAAATGTGATTCAAAAATGGATTCTAAAACTAATATTTGTCAAGACACTTGACTATAGCAGTGATCTTTTTTCTGAACATTTTTTGGAAAAAATGTCAAATTTGACAGGGAAGAAAAATCACTTGATCGGTCATATGCATGTCATTTGGCATCATTTTTAAAGTACAACCTAAAGGAGATATCAAAAGTTGGTTGAAGAGATGAACAAAAAAAAATCCAATTTGATGCGGACTTTATGTGTGACACTGTATATGTAAAACCGACGTTACGGCCAGTCCATATTATCATGTCTATGTAGAGAACGCAGAAGTTTTTATTATAGTTTTCGTTCGTTAGTTCTGTTATTTTAGTTTGATTACATATTCCAGTAGTAATAAGGAATAGTTTTATATAGTGTATAAGGATACTTTTTGTAAAATGGGACAATTCTGTATTTTGTGTGGACAGTGTAAAAATTCGAGGGATCCTCTATTCAGTATTCAGTGCCAAAGGTAAATGAAACATTTTATAATTACTGTTGTCAATCCACCAATGAAAAACTATGTTTGTATCAGCCTACACCAAAAACAAACTTCATATTTTGAATATTCCTTCACCCTTATAAATTCACCTTCTGCTACTAGAGTGTCATTATTACAAAATTAAAGGATTTGCTGTATGAGGGAAATGTATACCTAATTTTAATAACAATTGGAAAGTAGGTATATTCATTATTGATTTTCACTTAGGGCCAATTTATACAACATTGTCATTATTATAGTGCTAACTAACCACAGTTTACTTTTTTAATCATAATATCAAATTGAAAATAAACATTCAGTATGCAGATATATTTATTGCATTTCTACAGAATTAATTTTACTCTTCTGAGAAGTAAGTTTACACTTACACAAATTTCAACATCCATTTAAAATAGCATCTGCGTTCGCAGAAGTTATGAAGGAATTGTGGTCAGAAGATTCATCTGATAGAGTAATTAATACAGTCTACTTAAAAAATCAGATTCAAAGATTTGCCTCTCGATTCATGGTTCTGCCCGTCAAGACGCCCACGAATTCCTTCGATATCTTTTAGAAAGTTTACATGAGGCCCTCAACAGAATTACTGAGAAACCTGAACCAATCTTAACTGATATTTACGAAAAATTGAGCGATAACGGAAAAGCACAAGAGTCCTGGCAGAGATATTTGAATATGAACAACTCCAAGATTGTAGACTATTTCGTTGGTCAGTTAAAATCCNACCATTTCCAGAATCAGTTTTCTAATAATTTCTGTAGTTGGAAAGTATCCGTTGAATAAGGTATCAAAAGCAAATGTGATCACATACAAATCAAGAGAGAACACTTGGTGTTAGCTCGCACAAGACTTCTGAGAGTTGTCATTCGTAGGGCTGCGACAGCCGGTTAACGAAACGAAGTTTTTTTTTCAACAGAATAATATAGTAAACATCCAAAAAAGGATCTGCACAAACTTGTACGGGGAACAAGATTGTAGGAATGATGTGAGGAAAAACGTAATATAACAATGAGACAATGAAATATAAATGATATATTTACATTATAAAGTAAAAATTATTATTTCTAGTTACTAGAAATTGAAAATTAGGATGTCATATAACAATAAAATATTCTTTTCAGCTTACTTCTTTCCCTACTTCAGGTTTCCTTTCTAGGTCAACAACAGCGTCAATTACAGATGCTGTCTCTTCTTTTTCATCATCATTTTTCTTGAATTTGTTAACGTCTGAAAATTGGAAGCATACATTTTTTTCAATGAAACTAAACTTCAAATATGATTTGCCTATCCACAAGGAGATCAATGATATTTGATTGTTTTTCAAAAAGTCCAACCACTCTGTTGCATACAAAAGATAAGTATGGATATAAAGCCAAAGGTTTTTTTTTGCAGAACAATATTTTCTCCCACTGAAGAACCAACTTTTGTCAAGATTATATATTTTAGAATATGCTCATTTTTATAAACAAGAATTATGGAACAACTACCAAATTATATGGGACCAATGTGCTACAGAAACTAAAATAAATATCATCACAAATTAAATTAATTTTTCAGATTTCCATAATTTTTGTATTATTTAAAAAAAAAGGAAACTCTAATAGTGAATAATTGTCTGCTTCGAAATCAGATGATATACTGAAAGTTGTAGTTATTGAATTTCATGTAAGTACATCATTACTTGGCAATGCAAAAACATGACATTGATATATTTGTTGGAAATTTTCCAACATATTTTGACGCAGTTTTTTTGTTTTGATTATGTGCTGAAAGATAATTATGAGTTCTTCAGAAATTTGAATATATCCAGAATATTCAATTTATCGATTGGAGAGGCACTGTGAAGTTCATATTTATTAGGTTTAAAGAAATGTTATTTAGTAAAAAAAAAGTCTAAACCATATGTTCAAAAAGGTTTAAATGCCTATCACAAATGTGCTGAATCCCTTTGAAATTGATATGTGCAACGACAGAGATAATGTTTTGTGGAAAAAGATAGTGAAACAAAGGATGCTATGACTGCCACACTGTATACAGTGGGGCCCATTCAAACTAGAAGTACTAGAACATATATTTCTAAGAAAATTTTTTATTAGAACACCAAATTTTATGAATGTATCTTCGTTTTCAGGGCCAATTTTTATTATAGCAAGCGCCAAACATAATGGCGAGCGACCGCGCAGGTATAGACTCTCTCAATTAAGTTACTGTTGGATTATGATAAGCCCCTTGCCGTCCAGTTTCGTACCTATAATTAGTTTTAATTACGGTAGCAAATGGAACATGACTTCTTGTAATTTCTTTTCATATTTTATTTAGTATTATAGGTAATGGTATAGTTCATTAAAATGAATGTAATGATACACTCTTGATTTTTTGTTAGGCGATAATAATTTTTTAGAAACAACACAAATTATTCAGATGATGCCAAAGGCCAACAGTATTGGAGGACAAGTAATGATACGTCTCTGTACAGAGCATTTGTATATCTTGCAAAAGCTATAGTGGGGGTTACATTGAAAATGAGTTTGTGAGCATGGGGGCGGGGTCGCCATCTCGTTTGACGCTTGATGTATTTATCTATATCGTTCGAATCACTTCATTCTTCATTTGGTTTCTACGCACCATCAGAAAAGATTGCAATTGGTTTTTTCACAGTTGTGTGAACGTCGGTAATGAATCTCTTGAACAAACATCGATGCCATGAGCAAAATGATTGAAGAAGCACGACATATCATGAGGTAGAAAGAAGCGTAACTTGGGATATCACAAATTGTATGAACATTTAAGGGTAAAAAAAATGTCCCAAATGGATTGTGTATAATTTTACCAATGCTCAAAGAATAACTTGTGCGAATTGATGTAAGGAAGTTTTCAAACAATACAACATTGTTACAGGTGAAGAAAAGAGTATATATTTGTATAAATCAGAAACTATGCAAAAATCTGTTTGGACAGTGAATTTTCATCGGCTCCAGAAGCAGTTGAAGCCTTCCTTGTTTTCAAGATATCAAATTCAGAGTATGAAAACTGTTCCGACAATTGATTTGAATCCATAAATCAATTTTATAAAGGAATATTTATATTGAAAGTTCATTATTCTTATTTTGTAAGAACATAGTAGGTAACCCTTATATACAGAATTTGCATGTTGGATTTAAATTTAATGGTACCATGGTGAGTGGAAACTAAAATTTTTATCAAAAATATAAAAACAATATTTACCATATTTTGAGATATCTCCACCCAATAATCTCAGTAGATGAACAGTGCTATGTTTATCCATGTAACACCTCAAAGAAGTAGTACCCCTCCACCCACTGATGTGAATTACAAGTGGATTATTGGAATTGGAATCCTCCTTATATATTAAAACACAGCTGCCAGGACCTGTGAAGTTATATTTATATCAAAAACAAATTCAGAAAGAGCTGAAAGGTCTAGTCCTATCATGTTTTGTGCTCGACAGTAGTAGTTTGAATAACTATACCAACTTGTAACAATAGTTCAGATGTTATACATAATAGTAACTGGCAATTTACCCATTTTATGAATCAAGCTAAGGTGATAAGATACAATGATAGATCACTTTTTCTACAGTAGAAGAGAAAAAAACTGGAAGTTTCTTCAAGTAAAAAAGTGTCTCTAAAATATAAGTTGGTCAGCAGTTGATGCTCATAAAGGAGGATATTACTGGCACTGAGTTACTGAAAATAGTGAAAAAATGCACACTCACTTAATACTTCGACTTGTTTTCGAATATTCTCAGATAAATTAGCTATGGGTGGGGAGTGTTTTGGATCATCATTCATCAGGAGGGTAATTAAATCTTCCTTGGGAATATCAATTTTGCGATCAGATCCTATGTAAGGATATATGCTTTCCAGTCCATCGTTCGCAATTCTAGAATAAATATTCGGATTAACCAAACACAAAAATGTTTTACAACTTTGTCATTTACAGTTACTTATATAAAAACAGACGATTTTCAACACTGGATTTATAAACAATCTATAACTTACTCATTAATCTCAGTTGATTGAAAATATTGTTTCACCCAATGCGTATTGCAACATGACATTGCAACCATGGCAATGAATATTATTCTCCAATGAACAAGTAGAGTTAGAAGAATGTTTGATGCCTCGATAGCATTATATATGCAAAGGTGCAGGGTTACTTATTTCGGAGATTGGCTAAAAATGTATAATAGTTTGGAGTTTGGTCAAGCGACGAGATTAGAGGTGATAGTTACAAATGAAATAAGTGAGAAAATTATAAAGTGTAACCAAAATGAGTTGCAATTTAAATTATTGAATAAAAGTGTTAAATTTTAAAAGCTTGCCATTTATTTATTAAAGAATTCACATATAAACTTAATAATATTTATGATAACATTTCGAATTTTTATAAAGTGCGAAGGTGAATAGTCCCCCACCTTAACTTTTGAACGGAACAAGATATCAAGGTTGGACAAAATGTACATAAAAAGTTATCATTTTTAGTACTTTTTGATAAGGAAGACAACACCATTTATCGCCAAGAGGGACTGCCAATTTTTTTCCAAAAGAAAGGGGTGTTGTGATAATTTGTTAGATAGGTATTCAATTCTCTATCAAATATTTTTCATTTTTGGAAATATAATTAGCCATTTCCGAGTAATTAGCAGTTTTATATTCGTCTCTGATGAAGGAGCATTTGACAATGCACTACCTAAATCTATAGGATTGTCTCTGGCTAGAAAGGGTATAGAATCGACCATAACTGTCTGGATCTATACCATGCTAGTAAACAGAACTGCAACTACAACTCTTCAAGGCGAGGCTATCAGGTTCAGGGTCACCAGGGGCTGTCCTCAAGGTGGGATACTATCTCCCCTTCTGTGGTCGCTCCTGGTGGATAGTCTGCTTGATGCCCTCGACAGAAGAAAAGTTGATCTGCAAGCTTATGCAGATGACCTTGTCATCCTGGCAAGGTCCACGTCGGGAAGGGTAGCTTGTAATATCCTTCAAAGCAAGTTAGACGTTGTTCACAGATGGTGCCTGAGGGAGCAGATGTCTATCAACCCCAGCAAAACTGGGTTAATCCCCTTCACCAAGAGAAGGAAATTGGACGATATAACGCCACCAAGCAATTGCTTGGTGGCCGAAAGCTTTACAGAAAACGGCCCAAGCAAAGCTCTCTGGCTTACAGAGACAGGCTTGTCTGGCTATCAGTGGTGCTATCAGTACCACACCGTCAGCGGCCATGGAGATCCTTCTAGATCTACCTCCTCTCCACATTTTTCTGGAAAGAGAGGCTAGATGGACTGCATACAGACTTGTGCACATTGCCAATTGCACAAATCAATTCAATGCAGAGTGCAACAGACTGTTGGTTGACATTGGAAGTCAACAGCATTCTGGAAATGACCTCTGACTTTATGCCTCCAACTGTCAACTACGAACTGCCTTATAAAATACTATTCCCGAGTAGAGAGGACTGGATCCTGCGGGAGAAGGAAACATTAAGAGCAGATAGTTGTTGGTTCACAGATGGATCAAAAACACCTTCCGGTTCTGATGCAGGTGTTTTCAGTCGCAGACCCAGGACAGAGTTATCTACCTGCCTAGGAACTTATGCGACTGTATTTCAAGCAGAAATTTACGCTATTGAATTGTGTGCGGAGAGACTGGATAAATCCAACCTCACTCACAAGTCAATAAAAATATTCTCGGACAGTCAAGCGGCGTTGGAAGCTCTTGGCTCCCACCGAGCAACGTCTAAATTGGTAGCAAACTGCCAAAAAAGACTATCCTCGATAGGAAGACTAAACAGATTGTCTCTGGTCTGGAGTCCTGGCCATACTGGCCTGGAAGGCAATGAAGCTGCTGACTCTCTTGCAAAGGAGAGTGCTGCAAGCGGTTTCATTGGACCAGAACCTGTCATTGGCACCGCTTTGGGTTTAGCCAAACAAACACTTAACACCTGGATAGCAAGAAGAGTTATGGACTTCTGGCAGAATCTTCCTGGATTGGCTCACTCCAAGGCGTTTATTCACCCTTCGAAGCTTGATTCCAAACAGTTGTTGGACTACAGTAGGGATGAACTACGATGTCTAACAGGCCTTCTTACAGGTCACTGTCATTTGAATCATCACATGCAGAGACATGGACTGTCGGAAGACAGTGTGTGTCGCCTCTGTCTGGAAAATGATAAAACTGCAGAGCATATACTTTGTGCCTGCCCCGCTGGGAACCGAATCAGGTTCTTTTAGTTCGGCAGATCCGTATTCTCACCATCTGACCTGAAAGACCACTCACCATACAAACTAATCGGCTTCGTTAAGAAGCTGGGTTTATTTGGCAGAGTGGGTTGCGGTGGAGGGTCGAATAGACCCACTCACTTTAGACCTATATTCGTCTCAAGAACTTGTAAACAAAACTATAAATATCATGATTTCACGAAAAACATCATTCAAAACTTACGCCAATTCATTCCAATGAATATTCATGATGTTTAGTTTACATTTTTCATTCCAACATTATGAAATGTTCCCGAGATAATATCGTTGCAAGCACCTCTTTTTCTATGAACAAATTCTGAAATGAAATGTGTTGTGTATCACACACTTCAGATGGCATATATTGCCTCAAAAACATCTAGAGGCGTAATATCAGGTGGTTTAGAGGGCTCTTCTAAAGGATCACATTTCAAAAATGTAAAAACAAAGGTCAACTATTTTGATTTCTTATTATGATCCATTTTATAAGAAACTCATCATGGGAAAGTTGATATGAAGCTGTCAATCATTTTCGAAACAAAAATCAGACCCTTTATGACGTATATGAAAAAAAATGTTCACTGGGTCAGTAATTCCATAAAGTGTATCGAAAATTTTAATTTGTTCAAAAGGAAAATCAAAAAGTACCTTATGTGAATTGTTTTTATTCTGTACTTGATTTCATTGTAGTATATAATTGAGTTTTATGTAATAGTGAACCTGAAAGTGTCATGATTTTAAATTATGTAAAACATGAATATTTAACTAGGAAGTTAGAAGATACAAGATGCTACTTACGTGCAGATAGCAAAGTAGTAGTCAGAAATATTGTTAAAAAATGTATTTCATAGATGGATCTCCCAATATATAAAATCATCTAAATTTGTAAAGATTTTCTGTAAATATTGTGTAAATTCTCACCTAAATGCACACTTCATATTCTTATTATCACATCTAACGAATGCCTTAACACCAGTATTGATGAATTTAATAGCACCTTGGTTTGTCACAACCAAATTTCTAACTGCATCAGATGTTAAATAAATATTTTTCTTCTTGCCAACATGACACCTCGTCAATAAACATTTTGAATCAAATTCATCAGAAACTTTGTAAAAATTCTTGATATCATCCCATACTGGTTCTTCTTGATTAAAAAACACAAAGGGATCTTCTTTGTAACCTTTTTTCACTCTTTTTCTGCTACTTTCAAAGGAATTGTTTTGAAATTCACGTTTCCCATTTTCATTAACAGATTGATGTTCTGTATTTTCCTCGCTGTTTCTGAAAGGTTTTTCTTTAGTGTTCAGCGGTTTTACCTTTTTCAAAACAGCTACAAAAAATGCCCCTGTGTTCTGTTGGTGTGGAAGTATCCTTATGCTGAATATAAAAAAAAGATAGTGAAAACATACAGATATAAAAGTTTGTGGATTACTAGGGATTCAAACAATCATATATAGCATAATATAAGGAATAACGAAGTTTGCAATCTTCTTCATTCTCATTTGTTAACTTTATAAATTATGTCCAGAAATTGAAGGGAATTTTTGTTTTTTGAAAAAAATATTCTCGAAACTCTTCTCAAACTCCATCTTTGGATAGCCTTTAGCTTTTTCAGTTATATGATTTTAATGTCATATGCTTGTAAAACAACGACCTTTTTAGGTTGTCTTTATGTTTGGAAATAGAAAACCTTCACACGGAGCCATGTCCTGCGAATATGATGGCCGGGGCATCATCACGGTATTGTTTTTTTTCCAAAAATTCTCGAACAAGCAATGAAGTGTGAGTAGGTGCATTTTTGTGGTGCAACAACCTTGAATTGTTTTTCCACAAATCATATCGATCAATTCAAATATTTCAATTCTTGGAGTCACTAATAGCCATTTTAAATTTTTGATAAAAAAAAACATATTTAGGTGTTTAAAATGATAGCGTATTGCACCATACATTTTAGGAGCAAGATAACTGTGACTGCGCTGTCCAATGGTTTTGGATATTCTTGGAATAGTTATTGAATTGAGTTTATACTGGGTATCATATTATGATCCACCAATTCTGCCTCATTTGCTTCTTTACACTGATGAACAGTCAGAGCAAATGCAAATATTTTCCTACTGTTCATCAGTTCAGATTCGTTATATAGGTCATTGCTTGCTTAAGTGTATGATCAATTCAGAATAATTTTGTTAATCCATTTTTGAATGGTCTCTAAATTTTTCAAGTAATAGTTACTCCACACCAAACGATTATAACATACAATAGAAGAGTCTTAACTAAAACATGATATATTATAACAAAAAATTCAAATAATTTACTTCATCTCATGTCAACCCTCAGATAGTCTGTATTAGAAGTACCACTGTTTCAAGAAATTATTACTCCAAAAACACTCACCAATACTTTTTTAATAATTTCAAAGAATTACATATTGAGAAATGTAGCTTGAAAGTTGTCACAATATATGTCATTTTTTAACCAACGAGTAAGATAGAATTAGCAAAAATAGATTTGAGATACATCTCCATAATTTCTAATTCCATAAATCATTAATTTTATTTATGGAAAACGGACTTTGACGTTACACGGACTATCGGAATTTTTCAAAGTTTCTAACACTATAAAAAAGCAATTATGAGAGATATCTTCTTTGTGGAGGTGTTAATGTTTCTCACCGTTTTTTTTTGGTTTATAATCTCCTGAAATTTGAAAAATGAACAAAGCTAAATCAATTGAGAATCTGCTGTGTAATGAATGGTAAATTGAAAAATTCACCACCAAAGAGTCCAATTAATCAGTAATTTGTCGTATTAAAGAATTTTGCCTTCAAATTGAATAATAAATGGAAAATTTGAAATTTCTATACTTAAGTTTGTTCAGATGTTAAACTCCAAAACAAGCATTTTTCCCAAACACTAGAACTGCAACAATCTTCCAAGTTGGTGTCTTCAGGAGATCATGTAATCAGTTTAATTATTTTATGCCAGAGATTCCATTTCTACCTTATATTATATAGTTAACATTTAGTAAATAGTTAACATTTAGTAAAACTATCCTTTTTCTTTCCCAAAAACCAATAAATTCACTTGTTAAGAATGCCTCGATTAGAAAAGGTATAAGTATTACCTTTGATGTTTGTGAAAAATTCAATTTTTTCCTTTGATTCAATTTGCAGGAAAAAATAAGGAATACTACAAGTTACTGACTACTTGGACCCAGTAACTTTTTTGGTGAACTTTTTAGTTTATCCTTTATTACACTTCAGCAGATTCTCTATTGATTTAGCTTTCTTTATTTATCAAATTGTGGAAGGTTATGAACAAATCCAGCAAGAAATACCCCATGATTTGAAAATATATGATTTTCTATTTGTTTCAGGAAACTTCCACACTTATACTTTTATATTTACAAGTAATATTTCAATTTCAACAATTCTTACCATTTATTCAGTTCATATTTTGATCTATCGCTTTGTTTTGGGGGAAACATTTGGGGTCTGATGGTCGTTTTCCATTTTTCATCAACTTCCTCGAATGATTTATAGAATTCCAAGTTTCTACTTGCAACCAACCAATCTTCCATACCTTAAATATAGTGAAATAAAATTACATTTTTAGTGTTATTAATCTTTACTGGATAAAGAAATTTACCTGGAGAATATTTTAAACCAGGCAGTGAATTAGATACATCAACCAATTCAATGGACCCATCAGATTCTGACAAAATTCTATGAATTACTGATTCATTCTCAACTGGATTTAAAGAACAAGTGGAGTAGACTATTTTACCTCCTACAGCAAGTAGCTCAATTCCTCTTCTCAAAATTCTTGTTTGAATTCTGAAAAGAAACAAAGGAATAAAATGAATATAATACATAAATTAACATTAATGTTGACTATTTGGATACTGCAGAAAATTTGACAAAAGCAGTTCATGGGATAGGACATGTACACACCCATGTAAATTGAGACCATTGGCTGCTGTCCACTTCATCCATATATCAGGATTTTTTCTGAGAGTTCCATCTCCTGAACACGGTACATCACAGAGAATTCTATCAAAATAAACCTGAAATAAAATACGAGAATCTTCAGAAATCTAAAATAAATTCAAATGTATTTCAAATTTGGTATCCAGTTAATAATTTTTTTTCTATCTTTGGAGGTAATAAGTTTTGTTTATAGTCCGCGACTTGGTGCAAGAAAACAACGATTATGGGCTATTAAAATCAGAGTAAAATTGTACTTGAATCAACATGATGTTGAAGAAGAAGAAGAATATATTTATTGAAATAGGTAATCCTAATACACAATATTATATAAAACATATTACTAACATAGAAATTAAAAATAATCATATAAAAAAACTTAAAATGCAGATATAGTTCAAAATTGAATAGATTTAATTTCATTTGGTAATTTATTGTATGCATCAAACCCTTTGAAAAATAAAGAATTCATGGCACTTCTCCTATTTGTTCTGCATAAATTCAAATTAGTATGATTTCTTGTGGTATATTTGTGCACTTCTGAATTTAAACTAACAAATTAAAAAAATATGAAGGTGATAAGTTATTCAGAATTTTATAAATAAATGTCATAGTTAAGTGATACAACCGTAAAGAAACCGGTAGCCACCGCAAAATTTGTAACATAATTCCAATTTCAGTGAATCTATTCACTTTTAGAACAATTCGCATAATATTTATTAACAAGAAAAGATTAAATAAGGAAATAATAGAAGCACAGTAATCAAAATGTGGTTGGATAATCGCATTGTACACAGTAATTTTAGACTGAGTGGATAAATTACCACAAATTCTTGCGAAGAAATATAGTTTTTGAGATATTTTTTTACATATATAATCGAGATGATTGCCAAAAAGTAATAAATTATCTAACTGGAATCCAAGATATTTGATACATGACACAATTTCAATGTTTCATTATCGATTTGTAGATTTATTTTATTTAAATCAAGGTTGTTTCAATTATATTTTGTTGTAATACTCATTCCTTTAGTTTTCATTTTATTCAGTTTTGATTTATTTGCCATGAGGTACTCATTTACATCCTTTAATGCGGCATTCCTTTTAACAATAGCTTTATCAAAGCTTGTATCGTAGCATGCCAATAGTGTATCATCTGCAAATAAATTTATAAAATCAACGTTTATAAACAAGTTTATGTCATTTAAGTATAAGATAAAAAGCAGAGGTCCTAAAACGCTACCCTGAGGTACACCTATATGTATATCCAACTCCTGCGAGATATTATCTTAAACTCTGACTTTTTGCTTTCTATGGGATGAATAGTCAGGTATCCATTGGTAAACATCACCATCAATGCCATAACCTCTTAATTTTATTAGAAGAATATTACGATCAATTGTTTCAAACGCCTTCTTCAGATCAAGAAAAACAGCTACTACAAATTTATTGTTATCAACTTCTTTTTTGAATTTGGATAAAGTGAGTTGTAGTGCGGATTCACATGAATATTTTTTACGAAATCCAGATTGATTATTTATTGAAATTTCATTTTTTTCAACATGATCAAGTACTTGCTTATAAACAGATAGTTCAAGAATTTTTTCTATTGGTGGTAATGTATTTGTAGGTCTATATTCACTGGCCTTGATTGTATGTTTACCTTTTGAATGGGAACTATAATAATAACTTTTAAAGGATTTGGAATTTTAGAAGTTTGAAGAGAAGTATTTACAAGGTTTAAAATGTCCACATGTTTCAAAAATGACTTTGAGCATTTTGGAATTTAAGATCTCATGAACATTGTTTTTGTTGTCTAATGAGTTAACAATTAGACATAATTCATTCATTGTTAATATGTGAAACTTGGAAAAATTAGGATATAGATTATAATAATCGAATTTCCAATCTTGAACATTATCTATACTATCAACAATTTGCTGAATACTAGCAATGAAGTAGTAGTTAAATTCGTTTACTATTTCAGTTTTATTATTAACAATATACCTCTGGTTTGTTGAGTTACATTCTATACAGCTCGGAAAGTTTTGGCAATTCATGTTTATAAACTTTTTTAATGTTTTCCACATCAGTTGAGAGTTATTTTTATACATATCTACTCTATTGAAGAAGTATTGTTCTTTTTTGATAAATTTACTACTTAATTTCTCTGTTTCTTAAATTCTTTCCATTTGACATTTCTATTCACTCCAATAGTTTTAATAAAATCCTTATATATCTGATCACGTTGTTTTATTTTAATATGAATTTCGTTGTCAAACCATGGAATGTTACTTTTATAGTGACAGACTTGAATTGGTGCAACTTTATCGATAACTGATTGACAGTTATTAAGTAAATCGAAATATATGTTGTTGAATTCAAATCCCATCACATGAAATTAAATCTAGTTTTATTTTATCCAAATTTAGCTCACTAAGGTTTCTATAATTTTTTGATAGACATATTGTTGACATATTCCATTGCTCTGCCTAGAACCTGTCAAATATGTAGGTTATTAGCGATAACGGTGTGCAGTGTCAGATATTTGTGTTCACTTTTCAGTTCTAATACAGTTATATTAAATGCAGCGAACTGTAATGAAAAAATGTTCAATGACTCCAAAACATTTAACTTCAATGAACTTTGATTAGATGAATATGAAAAATTATCTAACATAATTTTTACCATCCAAGAAAACCTACATTGCGATATCATTGGGTGTGAGAGTATTTTGTCCCTAGTAGACATAAATAATCAGGCATTGTAGATTTCCATGTTTCAAGTTATCATTATTATTACTATTAATAATATTCTGGAATCCATAATTTCATCCATAATCAGTACTTACGCTAAACATTATAATGTTTAATTTTAAGGTCACTAGGGAAGATACTCATTACGATACAGACAATATCAAAAACAGCATAAAGTCAATGAAAAACAGACAATAATTACTAGTAGAAACAACACTGTTTTTGTAAGAAAAATTATCAGTGATGGGTTGACTTCATAACAGCAGTTTTTGACATTTATAATCATTGTGGTTCATCACAACAAAGATCTGGTAAAGCTGACGCCGATACATATTTCATTGCCTATTCAAATTTGAAAACATTAAAATGACAAGATAGATCTTGAACTCAAAAACTTTGGAATGGATTTTCATATAGTTTTCACCAATGGACGAAGTAATTTAAAAGGAAGGTTTACATGCATAATTATTTAAGGTTGTGTGCACATTGTCTGCAATGCCAGCTTTGTTTTAATTTGCACTTTGGGTAATCTGTTAACATTTGGTAGTTGATTTTCTTCTGATATCCCCGAAAATCGAATTAACAAAACCAGTTAGAACACTGAGGCATGGGTACGATATCAAGCTTTTTCATTTTTATCACTTTTATGAGTTGAAACTTGACAGGGGAGTTTGGGTTGAGATTTCTGTGTAATTAGGTAGAAATGAACAACCTTTGTACTCAGACATCTGTCACACAAATTAAATCGTTGATGCTCTGGTGAAATATATACTCTGGTATAATATATACTACTCAAAAATAGACATATTTGGAACATTACAATCATTTGAATACCAATTATTTAAAGTAGACTGGTCTAGAGCATAAAACAGAAATACCCTTAATATAATCTTTAGTTTCAGATCAATTGTTTGTCTACACAAATGTAAGCTGAAATTTGTAAAATGGGTTTTCAGAAACTGAATAAGTATATGAATTTCAGATTCAAAAGAGTAATTATTGTAATCAATATGCTACTACCTGCTCTGCAGATCCATCTGGTAGAGTCGTGAACAAATTGGGTAAAACGGCACTGTCATGATTGATTACAGCCACACATGGTGAATTTAATCTTTTAGCTTGATGTACTAACATATAACATCGTTTATTATCAACATCATTTGCAATAACATAACCTGATGGTATTGCTTCATCTTTTGCATGAAGAAGTTCTAAGAGTTGAGCTGTTTTGGAACCTGGGGCGGCACACATATCTAGAATCTTCAGAAAAATCATAGTTTTTTCCAACGGATAGATAGAACAAATTTACCTTGTGATGAGACTCAACATCCAAAACTAACGGAGGAATCATACTAACAGTTTCTTGACGAGATATTGTACCATGTTCTGTTTCAGATATGAGAAAATTGTGCAATTTATAATATGCCTCACATCGCCTTATATCTTTTCTTGTCAATTCCATTTGCCAAGCTAGTTTGTTAGGATACCTGAAAAAGTAATATTTCACATAAAATAATCAAACGGTTACTAAAGTCATAATTTTTCAGCCCAATCAACTTCAAGAGAAAAAAAAAAAAACAATCAAAATGTCAATAATTATTTCAAAGAAACACTTCTGATAATGACGATAAATTTTTGCACTGGTTATTGTATATGTAAATTCTTGTTAAGAAATACGTAATACTTTATTACAAAAATGCATATGGCAAAAGTGATAACAGAATGACAGACTTCACTGTCTACACACATCGGTAAAATATGACATATACAGTGTGAGATATAAATGAACATATACAACATATATCTTCCCCTTTATTTAGAGGTTTAATCTTTGCACAGGTTTTCTCACTCGCATAGCTCTCCTTACTGCTTGATTGCTCTTCTCAGTATTTGATGTGTTCGTTTGTTGATCTTTATTGCCATCCGAATTTTCTATAGATGAATAGTCAGAAATTGATGCTTCATTCTCCGGTAGTGAAATTGAAATCCCTTCCTGTTGTTCATTGTTCATTTCCGTTGTTTCCTGATTGGAGCTTTGAGTGGTAGATATGTTAATGCCTTCATTGGGTGATATATTTCCGTAAGAGCAACATCGGATATTTCTGTAATTATCCGACCAATCTACCTCCGTTGGCACTATTTGATCCAAATGTCGTCGCCACAACTTACCATCAACCTCGATGTAATAATGCAGTTAACTTTCTTTTTTAACAATTTTTCCGAATTTCCATTTTGAGCTTTTATCATAATTCAGAACTCGAACTCGTTGACCAGGGATGAAATACTTCATTTGAGGTCGAATTAAATTTTTGTTGTCTTCATTTTCAATGTATCTGAGTAAATCAATTTTTGTACGAATTTCTCTTTGTAAAAAAAGCATGGCAGGTGACATTCCCGTAGTTGAATTTGGTATTTTTCTATATTGCATTAGTAAGTTGGCCAATTTACAATCCAAATTGTCTCGGTTAGATGTCAATTTCCTCAGTGCATTTTTCATTGTTTGGACGTATCTTTCAACCTGGCCGTTTGTTTCCGGATGATATGGTGCTGAGTACTTGTGCAGGATACTATTACTTTTCAAAAACACTTCAAACTTTCGAGATCTAAATAGTGTCGCTAACTAAAATGACTGGTAGACCATAACGGGCAAAAAGATTACGTAAAATGGAAATTGTTCTTGAAGCAACCATAGAAGTCATGGAAATGATCTGTGGCCATTTAGAAAATGCATCTATTACTAGTAGGAAATATTTACCCATAAAAGGACCAGCGAAGTCAATGTGTATTCGTTGCCAGGGAGAGCTTGGGTATTCCCAACAGTGAGGTGGTACCTTCATCGGTTTATTTTGAGCACTTTGACATGGTATGCAACTTTTGACTAATTGCTCAATATCGGAGTCAATTTTTGGCCACCAGACGTAAGATCTGGCTAGCGCTTTCATCTTCACTATACCTGTATGAGCTTCATGTAGTTCTTCCAGGATTTTTCTCCGTAGTGTGGTCGGAATAACCACCCTTGAACCTTTTAAAATAACACCATGTGTAAGTGAAAATTCCAAATCATTACCAACGTATCCAATTTCTGTGATTCTCTTTCCTTCAAGTAAACTTTTGTAGACATTCATTAGAATAGAATCCGCTTGAGTTTCTTTGGCAATTTCAGTATGCGTTACTGGTAGAACTAACAACTGTTGTAATTGGTAATGTGCTACTGTATAAATGGAAGTATGTGTTGTTTGCGGTTTCTGGTAATCTAGATAAGGCGTCTGCATTCGCATGCTTTTCTGTTGATCTGTATGAAATTTCGTAATCAAAGCCTTGTAAGAATTGAGCATAATGAAGCATTCTAGTAGCCACCATACTAGGAAGATGCTTCTCTGGATGAAAAATGGACACTAATGACTTGTGGTCTGTGATCAGTCGGAATTTTCTCCCATAACAGTAACGGAAAAATTTATTGCAAGCCCAAAATATCGAAGTAGCTTCCTTGTCTATAGTTTTTCTCTGATTTACTGAGAGACCTGGAAGCGTAAGCAATCGGTCTTTCAGTGCCATCCGGCATTATATGGGAGAGGACTGCTCCAAGCGCATAGGGACTTGCATCTGTAGCCAGTACTAATGGTAACTTAGAATCATATGGACAGAGAATTTCACTTGATGTAATTTCCCGTTTCATAAGATCAAAAGCATTTTGACATTGTTCTGTCCATTGAAAAGTAACATTTTTCTGGAGTAAATTATACAATGGAGATAGTTTCGTCGCTAGATTCTTGAGAAATCTACTATAGTAATTTACTAGTCCCAGCCAACTCTTCAGCTCAGATGTGTTTGTTGGAATTCTTGCATTGACTACTGCCTTGATCTTCTCTGGAGTCTTTTCTAGACCTTTGTCAGATACAGTATGTCCCAGATAAGTAATTATGGACTCAAAAAATTTACATTTATCTTCTCTAACTCTTAGGCCAACATCTTGCAAACGTTTCAGAACTTTTTTTAATGTCTGAAGATGGTCATGGAAACTTGATCCTTGTATTTTGATATCATCCTGAAATACGCATACCCCCGGTATATCGGATAAGGTTCTTGTAATGTAACGTTGCCAAATTGCTGGTGCCACCTTGGTTCCAAACATAAGACGGTTAACAGTATAATCTCCTTTCGTTGTGGTTATAGCTTGGATTTTGGCGCTATTATCATCCATAGGCATATGAAGGTAAGCTTCTCTGATATCGAGAGTTGTGAAAAGCTTACCACCAATCATACTTGTAGCAAATATATCTTCTACATTAGGCATTTAATATCGATCATTTTAGAGAATTTTATTAATTGTAACCTTATAATCAGCACACAATCGAATAGTACCATCTTTCTTAACAATTGGAACTATTGGCGTACCCCATTCGCTATATTCAATTTTTGTCAAAATTCCTTTTTCTTCCAGGCGGTCTATCTCGTCTTCTACCTTCTTCTGCAATGCATATGGAACTTTTCTTGCAGAACAGTAAATTGGTATAGAGTTTTCCTGAAGAAATAATTTGGCTTCATAATTATTTATTTTACCAATTCCAGTTTCAAAAACTGCACTAAATTCTTTTCGTAATTCATTCAAAATTTGGGATTTCGAATTTTCTGACCAATATATATCGTCCTGTACCTGATGAATTTCAGGTGGAATAATTTTATTATCTTTGAGCCATTCACGACCAAAAATAGGTTCTACCTCACCAGGTAATATATATAGGTTAGCCAATACTTTTGGTCCGCAATAACTGACTTCAAAAGTTGAGTATCCAATTGGTTTTATTATTTCTCTTGTGTAAGTCTTCAAAGGAAGTTCACTTGTGTGAATCTGTTTATTGGGAAAAAGCTCCTTAAACATATCATAAGATATAGAAGAAACTGCTGCTCCGGTATCGTATTCCATTTCTACATGTTTATCATCTAATTGAACATCAAGGAGAAATTTATTCGGTTTTCGCTTAGATTCTGTCACACACAGTCTACGATATTGTTGATGTAATAGAATTCATCATCAGAATCATTTTCCACAATAACCTCACTAGAACTTGGTTGAGTTACTGGATGTATCTGATTCTGATTATTGGATTTCACAAATTTCTTGGTAGGTTTGACACTTGGATGATTTGTTATTGGTTTTCCATTTCTACAAACTGCATCTAAATGTCCAACTCGACCACACCTTCCACAATGTGAACGAACGTGTTTACAGACATTTGCTAAATGCGATTCATCACCACATCGAAAACAAAAACGCTTGGACGGATTCGGAGATGACCTTTTGAAGTTTTGACTGAATTTCAGTTGATTTTGAGATATTGACATCGAAGATGATTGCAATGCTTGAATTTCTTTCGAATCTTTGTGAGCCGATTCCATTGCTGGTGCTGTTTGAGCACAATCCGAAAAAGTATTGTTAGGTTCTTTCAGCTGAATTAGTTTTTCCAACCAACTGGAGTTTTTCAGTCCACTAATAAATTGCTGCCATAGATGTTTATCAGCGGTGGACGCATTACAAGAAAGACATCGAAAGTCACAATTTCTTGATAGTTTCTTCAGATCTGCTACAAAATCGGGAATGCTTTCACCTTCTTGTTGTATTCTTCTTGTGAAACGATTTTCTTCCGCGATTACGCTGGGTTTGGGATGAAGATGTTCTTTAATTAGAATTTGGAGAGAATCATATGATTTGGTTTTCGGATCGTCAGGACTAGTCAAATTGTATAGAAGTTGTAATGTTTTTGTACCCACGGAATGTATCAACCATTCTTTCTTCTTATTGTCAATCTCTGCCAAGGTACCCTTGAAATTTCTCATATTGAAAAAATTCTCTAGTCTCTTGATGAAAATGTCCCACGTTTCCGTTTCTTCGCAAAAAGGTTCTAAAGGAATAACTTCTGGGGAACTGGATTTTTGTGAACATTGTAATGATTCCGTAAGAGTCTTAATCAGGATACTGAATTGTTCAGAATCCATTTTATTCTATCCCGTCCTCGTCGCCACTATTGTATATGTAAATTCTTGTTAAGAAATACGTAATACTTTATTACAAAAATGCATATGACAAAAGTGATAACAGAATGACAGACTTCACTGTCTACACACATCGGTAAAATATGACCTATACAGTGTGAAATATAAATGAATATATACAACACTGGTGTTAATCATAAGTTGTGGTATAAGAGCAGTTTACAATGTAGGTTTTCACAGATGGTGAGATATGTGGCTTTGTTTTCCTGGTTGTCCATCAGTTGTGAGTTCTACGATGTTTCGTCAATTGTTACTTCTCATGATACATGAAAATAATTGCCAAAAAAAGCACACTACAAACAGAGTTTTCTAGCTAGAGGTCTCATCACCGTGGAACAGCCAAGTACAAAGATGGACAACACCTGGTTTCCCAAAACAGAAAACAACACATACTTGGGTCGCCAACAGAAGCACATCATTTTTAGTTAGACTGTAGCATTCCTAGGAAACAACTAGTAAGCAGCTATAACTTGCTGCATGACAAGGCTCCATTTTTCCTGGGCTTATTTTATAATTTTGCCAATAATAAGAAATACTTTAGTACTCAAAAAAAATATTACTTTGATGAAATAAATGATAGAATTAAGATCTGCCTCTTACGATCTTTGGATAGTAAAGAAAGCAACAAACACTACATGTTATTACTATACGAAGTGAGCTCCTGAAATGAAAATGACAACAATGTGTTCTCTTAATACCATGGTAATGGAAATATGTTGGGGGGTTTTTCATTTTCATCAACTTGATCAACACAATCTTTAATAAGCTGGTCTTCAACAATTTCCAACATTTTTCTTGCCACACCCTTAGACCCTGTGATTCTGAAGGTAGCAGGAAGGTCAGTTTTTAGACTTGTTATGAATTCATCAAATTCTTCTTTTTTGCACACCCCCAGAGTCTGAAAGAAGTATTTGAAAATGTGATGAAATTACATTTTGGCAACTTAATGTATTTATATATACACGTAAATTAAGGACTATACCTTATAATACTGAACAAATTTTTCATTTTCTCTAATAATGTCATTATAAGGCTTTCGAGAATCTGTTGCAGGTTCTTTGACTTGAACTTGAATGCCCTGAAATCATAATTTATAATTTTAATTGAACTAAAATCATTCCAAATATCTCACCCTGTTTTTATGACTGAAATGGTGATTCTTTCTGAATCCCGGTTTCCTTCTTCCCATTGTTATACAAAAGTAGACCACTCTATTCAAACAAATTTTAAAACAAAACATGAGGTGGTAATCTAAAATTACCTATCTGTATTTCTCTTCTTATTCCTGTTCCATTCGTTAGCCTCAGCAACCAAGGCTATCCGGCCAGTTGGTAAACAAAGTAATTTGTAAAATCAAAATTCAAAAATCTTTATTTACGATATTTTATGAACATACTATCTATATGTCAAGCGTATACTCCCGAAGGAATGGAGGGGAAAAACAGGGATACCCTGAAAAAGACGCACCCTCATGGCTCCGCCGGGAAGGGGAGACAGTGGAGTACGTCTTTCACGTTGTAAGTGAGTTCTCGTAAGTTGAGACCCAGACTTTTGAACGACTCTAATTCGCTTAGCGTCTCCTGTCTGTGTTTATACGCCAATGAGTTTGATGCTAACGTCCCTCAAATATCATATTCGCTGGCGGTCGGCGTATGCTAAAAATCCAAGTTAGGTTATTGGATTTAGCATTCACTTTGTAGTTGCGATTGTGTCGCTCCCCAGAACATGACATATGTACAATATTATAAATTGTAGTTGTCGATGTTCTGGAGGAACTCCACAAACGCTCTTCACTTTTCTAGGGCTCCTGTGGTGTCTTCCAGCAGCCGAATGAGATCGTTGAGTGACCTCAACATCTCGCTTATATTTATTAATGAATTGAGTTTATTGAAAACGTGGGAGATCTTTCTCCCCTGCTTCGCATTACCGAAAAGGCCCGCTGACCCGTCTCGTTCAGGGGGGTGTTATAGGTATCTAGATGTCGGTGGTGAGCCTTCTGTAGTTTGTATACTCGGTCTCTCTCTTTGGTCCATCTGCTCGGGTACCTAGCACATCGTCGCAGCAGATCGTTCTCTGGTTTTCATCTGTTCGGGTACCTGTGGATACTTTTTCGCAATAGATGATTTTTTGTTTATAGGATTTTTGCCACCCTACGCATTGCGCTGGGATGTCGGAGCTAGGCTGAATCTCTGGGGTCGATTGGCCTGTATATTTTGCATTCATCCCGAGTTTTTCAGTGTCACTGAGTTATCTCCGATGACACCGGAGGATGCATAAACTCTGAAGAAGCCAGCCATTTGCCTCAGTGAAACGTCAAGAAGAAACTCCAAAAATCGTTACGTAGCCTCATTAAAACTTCTACTTCATATTTTCAACCTCGCCATTTGTAATGTTTACATGAGCGCCCAAAATGTTCCATGATCCATTCCACTTGAGTTTACCACAGTAACGCTCGCAAGCAAGTGGAACGGGAAAATTGAGGTCGCGAACGTGATAGTTGTGAGCGCTTGATCGAACGCATGGATAAAAATACTTTTTCTGAACTGTACAAATTAGATGTCAAGAATTTATTTATACTTGTCATATTGGTCCACAAAACTATAGTTCCGCGATGCAAATAATGTCGAAATAATTCAAAATATCGTTAAATGTTTTTGCATAAGGAAGCAATGAATGATAATGAAATTATCGATATTTTGTGATCTGTCGTGCTAGTGACACAAAACACAATGTATTTTGTGTGTGTTAGTAAAAAAGCACGTTCCTAATAGTGCCAAACCTGGCTGGGACCAAAACTAAGAAGAAGGAGAACTAGTGTAGTGTATTTGTATTTGTTTTTAGTTTTTATTTGCGGTTTTTCATAATAGTTTACAGAAATGTGTCACATTCTCAATGCTTGAGAGAACATATTATTGAAGTTGATTTTTGAAGTTTATAACATTAGTAGAAATGCCTCTCACATTCATCGCTTACTAAAGTTATACATTATACTGAAAAAAAAGCAGTAATAAAGCCTTTCATGTTTTGGGTGTGAATCCCAGGACTCAAGATGTCATCTTATTTACGAGGCTCTACCAACTTTGTTTGGTCCACTACTAGTATTCTGGGAAAAGGGGCTACTGCAACGGTGCACCAAGGAGTTAATAAAGTGAATGGAGAACCTGTTGCTGTAAAAACATTTAACCATATAAGTACACTTAGACCTCAAGAAATTCAACTTCGAGAGTTTGAGGTTTTGCAGAAGGTCAAACATGAAAATATTGTTAAACTTCTTGCTATCGAGGAAGAACAAGAGAATAGAGGAAAAGTTATTGTTATGGAGCTGTGCACAGGTGGAAGTTTGTTCAACATACTGGATGATCCCGAAAATACCTATGGGTTAGATGAATCAGAATTCCTTCTGGTTTTGGAACATCTGTATGCTGGAATGAAGCACCTTAGGGATAACAATTTGATTCACAGAGACCTTAAACCAGGTATGTCAGTAGTTCCAGATTGACTATGAATCACTAATAATAGTTAGTTTACTCTTCAATAAGGTCCTGGATAATGTAGTGATTATATTAACATCATCCCAGGTCTCAGGTCAAAGGAATATGAGATTAACATCAAACTAGAACATATAAGTAGATCACCAATTAACTACATCTGCCACGCATCACAACCTAATCATACTATTAAATATGAAATGGTTATACCTAATATTTAATCAAATCAAAAGAAAACAAATATTCGTTTCACACTAATTTTTGAAAAAAAAAATCAATTAGTCTTGGCTCTCTGGTTTGCTTTTCAAGATACGTCCACTCAAAAATGAAAACTGGTTCAGGAACTTACTTGTAATAAAACCTAGTAAAATGATACCTTCTACCTAAGATCGCTTGCTGCAGACCTTCATTCCCATATCGTCGCTGATCTACGAAAAACTCACAGGAGACACAAAAAACTGTGTTATGATTTCAATTCAGTAGTATGGAACATGTTTTTTTTTTTGTAATATAACGAACTGATAGCGATGAGTTTAGTGTATAGTTGATAAAAACAAAATAAATATAATGACCAACAAAAAATAAAATGTTGCTTACGAGGATTTCTCCTACAGATAATTTAAGCAATGTTGATGGATACGAGGTTTTAATATTAGCTATAAAACACAAAAAATAACAACTTTCAGTGGAAAAAACTGTATTATTCCTTAGTATATAACAAATCGAACATTATTCTCTTACAAACTATGAATGTGGAAGCTCATCGTAAAATCAGTGGCAGTCACTTGGAATTACCTTTTTCAGCTCTTGGAGGTGATTGAATTTTTCCCCTGATATTTTCAATTTTTGAAAATAAAGCTGTGGCAATTCAAAAGGTCCTTTTTTCATATGTTGTGGTAGTTGAAGCCACTCGTCTCAAACATTTAACTTATAATTTGGCCTTCAGGTAAATATTTATAAGAACACACATCTGTAACAACAGGATCACCGGATGCTTTTCCGGGTCGCACTGATGAGACATAATGGATAGTCGAAAAATCTTTGAAGAATGTTTGATCCAGGTAGTTCATGTGGTAAGGCTGCTTTGGTCTAACCTCTCTACATATTCTGGCATAATCAGATGGAAGGTAGATTTCTTTATTCTTTAGTTTAACCTCAATAGTGCTGTGTACGCTGTCGACCTCCATTTGGGTATGGCCATTTTCTAGATAATGCTGAGTAATCGTGACTTTGTTTTCAATTGCAAATTTAAGCAGTGCATTTCTGTTTTGATACGTGCAACCATCACTTATGATAACCACCGAATTAGCCTGGTGTTTTTCTATTTCCTTTTCGAGGAAATCTAATATTCAATTCGCGAAAACCGCTGCTACTAGACCACCTTCGCTTTCATTCCATAAATAGCAAGTGACGTCTTTTGTGGCAATGCTATGAAGTGTGAAATTATGTACACATAATTTCATTTTATAATACGGAGCACTCGCTTTTAACATTGGAGATAGCTTCACAGCCTGCAAATCCATTGTGTATGTCAATTGCTCTCCTCTAATGGCTTTATCTTTTTCCTGTGCCTTAAGCTCCCTTTTCTCATCCTTACGTTTCACAAGATGTGCATAAACTTCCTCAGATACTTGCTTGTGTTTATATCCAATGCAAATATCGCACTGATCCTTTTTGGGCTGAAAAAGTCCAAGATTGAGGTTCTCGAATTCTTCAAGAAACTTTTTCCTGGCTAATGCCGCTCTCCCCTCATTTTGGCATGCTTTAAGATAAATTCGATGCAATTCAGATTTGGACTCAATTACTGGTTCTAAATATTCTTTCGTCGTGGAAGAGCGGCAGTAATGAGACGGCATTTTTGGCAGCCTTTTTAAGAAATCAACAGCAAATTCCCTATTTTGGCTTCTTCCAAGATTTATGGATGTATTATTATTTTCCTGATTAGTTCTGGTATTCTGGTATAATATTCCATCGTTGCTTGTCAAGACCCAATTTATGACTGTCCACATCTCAAAATAATGCCGCTTCCTACAGCTTTTGTATATAAAACATTGATTGAAATTCATAAAAATAAATCAAAATACATATTACAATCGCAACAACATGAATATCCTACAAGATCAGGAAATCTGATAAGAACTGAGAGATTCAGACTGAGCACCTCACAAAATAATTCATTGAATTTGAAATTCTATAAGTTACCATGTCACATAAAACAACTCAGTTTCTACTGTTTCAAGCAAAAACTCAAATCATTTTTTTTGAATCACTGTTTTTATTCTACAGATGAATACATGTTATAGATAATTCATGTGACTTTGAGTGAGTAACAATTGTTCTCATTTTTAACATTAGTTGATTGATTGTTTTCATTATTATGTACACTGTTCTGTTATACAAGCATTGTGATGGTTTTATTTGTATATATGACGTCATATTTAGAAATTTTTGTGTTTTGACTTGCTACAAATATTTGTTCAAATGTATCACGTAGCTAATAAACTATTCTATTCTTCTATTCTCATACAGATTGACGTTCCAGATGATATTGAAGATGAAGGATCTTAAGTAACCAAGCCCCGAGAAGTGCAATACTTTTCTCGCTGCATGTTTCACCAACCAAGTTGGCATCTTCAGGAGATGAAGAAAACTAGTTTTTTTTCATATCCTGTGCTTATTTTGGAGATATTTCATATACAATTATGGTAGTGTTTTTGTGTATATATGTAAACCCATAAAGAACTGACAAAATTCACAAGTATGTCCTCATTGTACATATGAAGAGTGCAGAAAAGACATAATAATAAAAATTCGAACAAACATATTTTAAATATCCTGAGAATCCTTTATATGAATGCTAGATCGATAAAGAATAAAATGGAAACAATCACAATGTTCAAAAAAAATCTGTTCTATTACTATAAATGGAAAAAAAATTGGAGATCCAGAAATTATTTGTGTAGTAAACTCCAGTTTCATCAGCGTTGGAGAAAAATTATTGAAAATATTCCATTAAAGGAGTTTGAAGAAAAAAATTGCTGTTCATCGATGATGTTTTTAGAATCAGTCAATATGAGAGAAATTGAGAATTATTGATAATTTGGATCTGAAAAAAACGACAGCTGTAGATGGAATTTCTGTCATAATTGTAAAAATAGTCAAAATCGGTAAAGAAACTGCGTTGGAGAAAAATTATCGAAAAATTTCCTTGAAAGAATTTGAAGAAAAAGATTGCCGTTCATCGACAATGTTTTTTAAACCAATCAGTAAGATAGAAATTGAAAACATTATTGATAAATTGGATTTCAAAAAAAAACGACAGGCATAGATGGAATTTCTGTCAAAATTGTAAAAATAATCAAAATCCGTAGAAAAATTGTAAAACAAATTGATAAAATTTCTATTGGAGGAATGAACTCTCACTATTGAAGATTTCAGATTTTTTCGGCACTAATTATGTATAAAGGAATAATTCATGTTAAATATACTGGATAATTGACTGTTGTCTTGTACTAACCAAGATTACCTGATGCTTTTAGACCTTTTATTTTGGTGATGTATTACTAATTTTTTAGCAACCTCGTACAGTTACTAACCACACTTCAAGTGGGTAATTGTACGAAGTGGCGTCAGTTGGTTACTTTATTTGCTAGCTGAACAGGGCCTTCAATATCAATTGGTAAGAGGCTGGTTATATTAGAGATATATTAAATTTGGTTGATATGTTCAAGTAAGGTAGTAACCACACATCAGATTGCATTCGTTTATCACAGTTAAAATATTCATTGGGAATGATATTCCCACATCTCATTGCATTCATTCATCATAATTGAATGGTATTCTTACCTTCCTGTTTAATATTGCCAAGAGTGAAATATTTATCATATGGCACACGAAAACATTTTTGTGCTCTACTTGGTCAATTACTTTTGTAATATCTATTATTTTATGAGTGCTAATAACTCATTTAAATATGCATTCAACAAATTCTATTCATGTATTGAAATAAATCACAATCTCTACATGTGATTTTGATAGTGTAATTCTAGTGATATATTTATGTGTTCTTATTGTAATTTGAAGTTGTTTATGTTTGGCATATGAAGTCTAAAAAATGAAAATTTTGCAGGAAATATCATGAAATTCATTCGAGAAGATCGCACAACAGTCTACAAACTTACCGATTTTGGGGCTGCTAGAGAACTTCAAGAAGGTCAGTATTTTCAATCTCTGTATGGTACAGAAGAATATCTCCACCCTGATATGTACGAGAGAGCTGTTTTAAGGAAAAACGCAAATAAAACATTTGGAGCAACAATTGATCTATGGTCTATTGGTGTAACTTTGTATCATGTTGCAACAGGAAACTTACCATTTCGTCCGTATGGTGGACGCAGGAATAAGGAAACCATGCATCACATCACAACTAAAAAGGAAAGTGGTGTGATATCTGGTATTCAGACCAAAGAAAATGGCCCAATTGAATGGAAGCGAGAGCTTCCAATGAATTGTCAACTAAGTTTTGGTTTGAAAAAAATTATCACTCCTTTATTGGCTGGTCTGTTAGAAGCGGATCACAGAAAGATTTGGAGTTTTGAGAGATTTTTCAAAGAAGTAGAAGTTGTTTTGTCTCGGAAAGTGGTCAATATTTTTCATGTGACCAAAGCTCAGTTGATAAAAGTATACATTATGCCTGATGAAACATACCAGCAGTTTCAAAATTATATAGCAGAACAAACAGAAATTCAAGACTCTAGCCAAATTTTGATATATCAGAACAGTCTCTTTAGGAGTCTTATAGACGAGTATACCCTAGCAACTGGTTATCCTACCACTACTAAAGAGGACCCCCTTTTTTTATTTGACAGAGAAAATAATAACATAACCATCATTCCAGATCAGGAGTTGCCAAAGTTCAATGATTTTTCAAGTGTAGTTTCTGTGGAAAATGATGCAGTCCAAGCAAAGTTTGCTTGTAGTATAGGACATCAGTGCAAAAGACAAATTGAGAAGTATTCCTTGTTCAGCAAACTGATACGTGATACAGTAGAAAATTTCAGTAAATATATAAATGCAGAACTGAAACAATTGCACCAAAATACACAACACCTTCTCGACAAAACAATGATATTCAATAGTACTGCCCAAATGTTGGAACTGTCCCAGCAACTAACTAATTATGACCTAAAAAACAATTATGTGGATAAGCTCAACAAGATTAGCAAAGAATTTATGTGTGTAATAGAAGGTGGAGTAAGTACTTTATATAAGGTTCACTGCGTAGAAAATACATTAAAATTACAATGGGATAGTATGAGTAGAGATCTGAAGTGCCCATATAAAACATTAGCACCTGCTAGAGCAAAAACTCAGGTAGAAAATTTGAGAGATTCTTGGCAACACTTAGTTAGAGATCGAGCAACTCGTACCTTATCTTATAATGATGAACAATTTCATATATTAGAACGAATAAAAATTACCGAAACTATTGGTAGGATTAAAGCTTTATTTGAAAAAGAAGTGTTTCCCCAGTACGAACAATTAGCTGAAAATTTTGGCGATTGGTACAAAATGGCACAAAATGCCCATTTAAAAACAGAAATATATATTGGTGACATTAACAAATTTGGCAACAACCTGCAGAAATTTGAAGAAGAACTTATGATCGATAATGCAGAATATACTGAATATATTAAAAATCATCAAGTTAAAAAAAATATTGTCCCTAGAAAGAGTCGAAATACACAAGCTCAAAAGTTTAAAATGTATTTGAATGAATGTCGTAAGGTGAGTGAGGATCTCCGAGATAAAATTAATGAGAATACCAGGCTTACTAATGAATTGAATGAGTCCACCAAGAAATTGGAAAATCAATATAACAATAAGGATAAGGAAATCTTATTTGGATGACTTTTTGTTGATATGATTTATTTAATATATTCCATGGCAAGTTCAGTTTTACAAAAAAGAAACAAATTTTTTTGACTGTTTGGAAACTGATCAAGACTCTTGGTGTCTATTTCATTCCAGAACTTGTGAAGGTGGAGACTTATTTTATAAAGAATATTGAATAGTTGATAGTAGTTGTATATATGTAATTAATATATTCAAATAAGTGATTTCTTATTGAGTAAAAAAAAGTAATTGATTCTTGTATCAATTATGGAAACCTCCTCCTGTGATATATTATTTCAAGTATATCAATTCGATCAACACTTTCTTATAAGTAAATAGTTGATATTTAAAAAAATATCTATAACGTAACATTACAATTACAGAACTGTATAGTGCGTTCTAAATTATTATTATAAGTTAAACATAAATTAAAGGGGTATGTTTTTAGGAGAGATTAATTTTTGGGAAAGAGAGGTTTTGGCTTTCTACTGCTTCTTTATACAAAAAAGTGGTAATCTCCCAAAGAAAGGAAGAAAGCAATTAATTTCAAAATAAACTCTATACAAAAATGAAGATGGAGAAGTAGGAAGCCAAAACCTTTCTGTCCCAATAGCTAAACATATATTAGTGAATATCTCATAATGAAGTGTTTCTTGAAAACATATATTTGATTTTGTTTTATTATTTTTTTTGAGGGCTTCTAACCATCTACAAAACAAATACACTGAGAAATATACAATCCCCATAAGTATCATCAAAGGCAAACCGAAAAATTCACCCCATTTATAAAGTTAATAGATGAAATAATAAAAAAAAAGTCTGGTCGGTAGCTCCCTTAAGTTACAAATAAAATTAATTAAAAATTATTTTATTTAGTTCTATTATATAAAAGAGGGAGATAATTGCAATACCTGACAAAAGAATATATGCAGATGCTTTGTTTTTTGACGTTTTCCTATAGTTTTTTGGTGATGACTTTTGTTTGCTTCTACTCAATTCTATGATAGATATCCATGTTCTTGTTATGTCTTTTCTTCAAATATTCATGATGTTGGCTCAGTTATACATTTTTAGGGGTCTTGTTATTTGACCAATATATATATTTTGCCATATTGATTTGAATTCATTCTTTTAATGTGCAAGGTTAAGAAACCAAAAAAAATCAACATTGACGCCTCTATAAAACATGTCAGTCAAAATATATTCACTTATTTTTGAATATGGCTAACAACTATTTTCTACCGACTGGTGGACATTGGAACTTTTCAAATATGTAAAGATTCAGTACTTAAAATAAAAATAAAGAATAGTTTATAAACTATAGGCTCACATAAAAAATGAAATGTAAGGTAAATATAAAAACTGAAATAGATGAGATTGGATTCTAATTTTGATTCCAAAAGTATATAAAAAAAGTATTTGTTTGATAATTCTGGAAACAAAAATTGGAAACAACATCATGGGTTAGCACATTTAAAATTCATTTCTACAATTTTATTTTTCCAGCTTCATGGATGATTTTCTACTTATTAATTGATTCATTACTTCTGTATATCAATGTTTTGTGAAGGCAGTGTTAGAAGGCTTACCATTTAGATTTTTATATGTAATATAATAAAATGTTTACATATGTTGTATTTATTTTTTCAATACAAAACTATCTTGAACGAAGGTGTGTAAGTTTTTGAGCTCAGTGGAATTTTTAATGAAACACTTCCCACATATCAAAAACCGAACACATTCCTCCGTGTTTCAGGAGATAATCAAAATGAATTCCTTACAGCTGAATGTATTAGTACTAGTTATTGTGTTGGATTTGATCAGATGAATATATACAAATAACTCATTTAAGAAAGACAAAACTTTCGAACTTTATTGAAACGAAATAAATAAATTCCAGGCTTATAAATCCAAAAAGACCTCTCCCAATCGAAACACGAATACTATTATAAAAAATGTTAACACTAAATTCAAATACAAATTTTGACGTATTCCAAGAAATTGTTGAGGAATGAAATGTATATTAGGAGTGAAGTAATATAAAAAAAGTATAATTAGTTGAAATACATAATATAATTTGATGGAAGAATTCTCCACAATGATAATCCAAAATGATTATATAATGATTGAAATATTCGATAACGAAATATAGTCAATTTCAAATAGGAATTTTGATTTTATTTAATTTCTGATTCTTGCTGAAATTTGACATTATTGAGTTAATCGTTCAAATTTTGGCGACAATACTTGAATGTTGCTAAACTGAACTTAGAAAAATATGCATACCGAATATTGGAATAATTACCGAATTGGTAAAATAGGTATGAGATATCCCGTGAAAGATTTAATGAAACTCAATGGTTTGAAGATATGAAATTTCATATTATAATAGGTGTCTCTGGCGAATGAGAAGAGACTGTTACCGCAAAAATGAAGGAAAACAAAGAAATAGGTGTAAATATTTGATACATTCAGGAATGAAGTTATCTCGATTAGTATTCACTACAAAAATACATAAATTTGCCTATCGCTTTACTGATTCCTAGTTAAATTTCCACTTATCAGATACTATTTCTACATCTTCTGCAAAACTATGCATTTTTCAGGATATGTTTATCAGACTGGCTTTTTGACAGTTATTTTTCAACCTGGCTGTTCATTATGAAGAGTGTAACTTTATATTTGTATTAACGAATATCACAGTGAATAAATCCAATAACTAATATTTGAATGTTTGTGCTTAGAGTATTTCATGTCAGTAATCAATTTTTTCTTTGAGTTTAAATTATAAGGCGAGTTCTTGATATCCAACAAAACATTTCTTTAGCAATAGAAACGTGTCAACATATTGAGTAGTTAGGTCCGCAAGCCGCAAGGGTTGCGCAGCTTCTTAACGAAGCTGATTAGTTTGTATGGTAAATGTTCTTTCAGGTCAGATGGTAAGAGTACGGTTCTACCGAACTCCAAAATCCTGATTCGTCCGCAGCAGGGCAGGTACAAAGTATGTGCTCTGCTGTTCCATCATTTTTCAAACAGAGGCGACACATACTGTCATCCGACAGTCCGAGTCTCTTCATATGATGATTCAAATGAAAGTGACCTGTTAGACGTATTTCATCAGTTCGGACTTCCATTGTCTAATATAATATAAATTGATTTGAAATTCCTGAAAGAATCTGTAAAAAATTAACAAGATTAACCGACAAATAACAATTTTATTAAACAAAAAAACTGAAATCACAAAGAAATAACATACAAGCAACAACCAAAAAAAATAAAAATTGAAATATTAATACAAGCTGAAAATTAAAAGATTCCAAACCAAGTTACGTCACGACGTTTCGATTGTTAGTATCCACAATCGTCTTCGGGTGATAACTGGACTTATTCCTCCGAGATCTGACTATTTATAGGGCATTCGAGTGCTTTCACCTTTCCCTTCTTTACTCTCTCCGCTTCATTGGTTTTAGCGGGAGTTGGTCGTTTTTCGCTTGAGTAGGGGTTTCCATAAGCTAAATGCGTTGTTGGACAACATATACGCGGCTTCTTTGAATTTTCTCCTAAACCAGTGTTCCCCTTTGTGGATGATTTGAGCCCACTTGATGTTATGTTGATGAGCCAATGGCCTCTTAGTTTCACCGATGTATGATTCTCCGCACTCGCAGGGTATCCGATAAATGCAAATCTTGGAATCGCAGTCCGCGTTTGGTGGCCTGGTTTTCGCGAGGCTGCTACGGATAGTGTTCCCAGATCTGAAGCAGGTCCTGATGTTGTACTTGGACCCAATCCTACCGATAATCCTCTGATGTAGGGAAGTAAAAGTACTGGTTGTGGCGGCTTCTCTTCCTTGTGGAGCTCTTGCTGTCTTCTAGCTAAAGCCTGTTCTACCATCACTCTGGACTAACCATTCCGTTGAAGGTCATTTTTGATGATGCCTAGTTCCTTTTCAAGACTTTCCTTTGTATTACAGAGCCCGAAAGCAGTGTCTAGTAGAGTGTTGTTGATTCCTCTCTTAGTCGATTGGTGGTGGTTGGATTTCTGGTTCAGATACTGTCCCATGTGAGTTTTGGCTATAACTGGTGAAAGCGGCGATCCCATTGGCAGTCCCTCATCATGCGTAAAGAATTCGTCCTTCATTTGGAAGTAGCAGTTTGGTACACAGCATCCTAGTTATTCCATGATTACTTGTATCCGTGAGTTTGTTCTATCTTTCAGGTCCCCATCTTCGGATAGCTTCTTCTGTATGATTTGAAGTGCTTCTTCGACAGGAACGTTGGTGTAGATGCTTTCCACGTCGAAACTGATCAGTTGATGCTGCTCTTTGACTTCGATTTTCCCTATAGTTCAACAAAATGCCTTGAATTTTTCACAAAAGATGATGTTTTACCTTGCAGTGGTTTAATTATTGGTAGTATAAATCTGGACAAGTTCTGAGTGGCTGAATCTCTGTAGCTAATGATCGGTCTGAGCGGAACATCCTTTTTGTGGATTTGGGTAGTCCATACTGTGGTGCGGTGTTAGCGATGATCTCTCTTTTTCCGAAAAATAGATTTGGTGTTTTTTCAAAATCTGGTACAACTTCCTTTCAATTGATGCAGAAGGGTCTCTTAAGATCTTCTTGTATTTTCCTTTCTGAAGCACTCTTCGATCTTCTGTTCGTAGAGATCAGTTTCCTTCACAACAGTAGCGTTTCCCTTATCTGCCGGTAAGATCTTGATGGTGTTGTCTCTACGTAGCCCGTTCAGAGCTCTTCATTGCTGATGTTAGAATTTGGAACTGGTTCTCGATCTAGCTGTTATCTGATTTTCCATCTGAATTCTTCTACCTCAATCTGATCAATAAGGGAACTGGTGGATTCTACTGCAGTTATTATTTCCAAAGTGGGCTCAGATGTTGGTGCAATGGTGAAGTTTAGACCTTTCCTCAACAATGATTCCTCTATGTCCGTGAGCGGGCGGGAACTCATGTTGATGACGTTGGCGGCTTCATACTTGTCCTGTTTTCGTTCTGCATTTCCAACTTTCCACACTTTCTGTTGTGGGTATTCTATATGCCTTGTAGATTTTGTTGCTTGTATGTTATTTCTTTGTAATTTCATTTTTTTTATATAAAATTGTTATTTTTCGGTTGATCTTTTTAATTTTTTTACAGATTCTTTCAGGAATTTCAAATCAGTTTGTATTATATTAGACAATGGAAGTCCGAACTGATGAAATACACCACGAAACATTGTCAACCACCTTCAAACAAACCTGTTAGACATCGTAGTTCATCCCTACTGTAGCCCAACAACTGTTTGGTATCAAGTTTCAAACGGTGAATAAACGCTTTAGAGTGAGCCAATCCTGAAAGATTCTGCCAGAAGTCCATAAGTCTTCTTGCCATCCAGGTGTTTGATGTTTGTTTGGCAAGGCCTAAAGCGATGCCAATGACAGGTTCTGGTCCGATGAAGCTGCTTGCAGCACCCTCCTTTGAAAGGGAGTCTTCCTATCGAGGAGAGTCGTTTTTGGCAATTTGATACCAATTTAGACGTTGCTCGGCAGGAATTAAGAGCTTCCAACGCCGCTTGACTGTCCGACAATATTTTTATTGACTTGTGTATAAATTTGGATTCTTCCAATCTCTCCGCACACAATTCAGTAGCGTAAATTTCCGCTTGAAATACAGTCGCATAGGTTCCTAGGCAGGTTGATATCTCTGTCCTGGGTCTGCGACTGAAAACACCTACACCAGAACCGGAAGGTGTTTTTGATCCATCTGTGAACCAAAAACTATATGATCTTAATATTTCCTTCTCCCGGAGGATCCTGTCCTCTCTACTCGGGGACAGTACGTTATAAGGCAGTTCGTTCAGTCACACTACAGAGACTGAATTTCCCGTCAATTTTGAAATCGAAACTTTGAGTGCTTTGAAGATAAATTTTGATACTCGTTTTTCAGATTTTGATGTCATTGCTCCGGAAGTCCAAAAGGAAATTATTGATTTACGGTGCAGTGATATGCTTAAGAACAAATATCAAAATTCATCTTTGTTGGAATTTTATAAGAGTCTTCCACTGGAACAATTTGATAATTTGCATAAATTTGCTCGTGAGTTGTTTTCTGTTTTTGGTACTACTTACTTGTGTGAGAAAACGTTTTCCAAGATGAAGTACACAAAGAATGTTTACAGATCTCAATTAACCGATGAGCATCTTAAATCTCTTTTGATAATTGGTACAAGTAAAATTGATCCACAACTACAAAGTATAGTCGGTGGAAAATCACAATTACATAAATCTCTTTAGTGTTTTTGTTTTACTGTGATTCATTTCAATTATTTGTTAGTTATTAATATGCTTAAACTTAGATACTTCAGTTAAGTTTTCTTTGTGATCATTTCTGTCGTTAAGTTTTACCTTGGAAGTAAATAAAACCAAGTAATTATCATTCTGTGTTTTCTTCTCCAACTTATCACAGCAATAGTAACAACAATTAGGTAATCATTGGTTGTCGCGGGCCAGATTGATGACAGTAAATCATTGGCTGTCGCGGTCCGGATTGATGACACTGGCGGGCCGGATTTGGCCCGCGGGCCGTAGTTTGGAGACCCCTGGTCTAGGGGGATATCAGGTATATTACACTTGAATGCTAATATATTTGTTTTGCTAGTATTCAATGATAGAAGATTCGAGTCAAACTAATTCTTCACTTTTTTCATGTCTTGGCACATTTTGTTATGCAATCTGTTTTTGTCCTTGTCATGCCACACTAATGTGGTGTCGTCAGCAAATAAGGTAAAGCTTCCTGTGATCGATATGTTGGTCAAATCATTAATGTATAACAGAAACAGTATAGGACCTAAGACAGAGCCTTGAGGTACTCCACAATTTATCTCTCCCACGTCTGAGTTAGATGACGTTCTTACAATTGGTTTTCTGTCAGAAACGTATGAACTAATCCAAATATGACTGTTGTCCCTAAAACCATATCTTATGAGTTTCCGAAGCAATATGCTGTGATTGACACAGTCAAAAGCTTTGGATAAGTCACAAAGCACTGCTGTAGTGGCTTCCCCACTCTTGATTTCATTATACACCGATTGCATTACTTTTGATATAGCTTCACTTGTACTCTTAAAATTCTGAAAGCCATACTGATGTATCCTATTACTGGTCAAAAATTCCATTATTCTTTTTTTTTACCAGTTTCTCAATTATTTTTGTTAAGGTTGGGATGAACGATATAGGCCTAAAGTTTGCTGGATCTTCATTGTTGCCGCCTCTGTTAATCAGTTCAACAAGTATATTGAGCGCAGTCTCAGGAAGCCTTTCGCGAATTTTAATAGAAATTTCATCAAAGCTAGATGTTTTCTTATTTTTTATGTTTTTTATGAAATTGAAAAATATGAAATTAGCTCTGACTAGGTTGCAGTACTTGTCTCATTACCGCTTCATACCTTCCGCCCTGTTATTGTTGCTCTCAAACTCTCTTCTCTGGAAGAATTCCCAACTCTTTATGGCATAATTCAAATAAATTCATTTTATTTATATGTAAACAACGAAAGAACCATGAGAACTGACCTCACGCCCCTTAGCGTCCTCTCGCGGCAATAATTTTCGTGGATGCTCTCATTGCCTATAGGCCTATGCCTATAGGTAAATATAAAAAATATGACAATTGACATCGAGAGAACATTCCGGGTGCGCGTCTGTCGCAAACCGTTAACTAAAGTAGTTTTGAAAGTGTCAACATTAATTGATATTTGCAATTTTCAATTTATTGTAAATATTTGTTAATTATAATCTAAGATAATCACAATTTTTAGTGCAGTTAGTGTACACAATGTTATTTGGTCTTGAAATGAAGCTCCCGTTGATTCTTCATAGTGCAATAATTGAATCATTTTGAGTTGTTTGAACATTTATCCATTATGAATAAAAGCAAAAGGAGAGTGTCAAAGTAAAGTACATTTTCATTTAGTATATTCATTAGAACGATATCCTAATTCAGCCATTCAAATTTCTGCAAGTTGAAAGTTATTTTTTTCAAATTTAATCTGGTTCCAGTTGTTTTGATCAAACTTAGAAATGTCATGTCATTTCAGTTATAAGTATAATGTGATTATTTTTCAGCTGCCAATAAATGATAAGAATGATCTTTATAAAATCATGTACAATATTTCTCAAGTCCTTACCTTTTTCAATTTATCAAGGTACCCTAGATGATGGTAACCTAGTATAAAAAGAGGCTACATTTTTCTAAAATACATATTAAAATCATTCATAAATAAATGTATGATTGTATTTTTTAGTGGGTGGGCACTTCTGAATACTGAAAAAAATGACCAGATACTTGTTGAACAATATTGGAATATGTGCCTTTTTTCTTAATTCAATTCTGAATTTGTTAATAGAAATATTTCTGAAATGAGCTACCTTGAAATTGTAATCAAGCCTGGAAGAAGAAAAACACATCTTTCTATTAGAATCTTTGAACTTTTTGCAAATATTTTTAGTTTAGTTTAGTGATACATGAGCTTTTCCCTATTTTTATAGATCGGTAACATATAGATTGATTTATTAATTTTTTGCAGAAAAAAAGATGAAGAGGAGGAGAGTGATGAGTCTGTTGAAAGCTTGCTTTTGGAGGAGGGAGTTAAGAAGTTACTGGTATGTTTGGAATTCATACTTAGGCATTTTGTATCATGTTTGCTATGTTATAAACCTAACTGGAATAAACTTAATGTTACTGTTTTTCAGCCACTGGCTTATAATCTACCTAATTAATTTTTGATCATTAGGTGAGTTCTTAAATTCATCAGAGTCTACCTATTGATCCGATTGATTCATCTATTGGTCCTTTCGAAATTTTTGATCATTTCTATTAGTTGAAGCAATCATTTTTCTGTTGAATTTGAGAACTTGCGTATTTGAAATATGATTATTGATTGTTTGAATTATAAATTCATTCAGTTTTATTGTTACAGGACATTGATATTGATGGACATAGACGAAAAAATATTTTTATCAATACTGAAGAAAATCCTCAAAGGATTCGAAGGTCAATAATAACAAGAGCTTTACGAAATGTTATCAGTAGTACACCTATGATAACTAAAACAAATGGAAAATTTTTTTCAACTGAATGCTCCCTTGATATATCCCCTATTAATTCAGAAACTGATGAACATAGTGTTAGAGAAGATATTAAAAAGAATGATCTTCCCGAGAAAAAAATACTTCACCAACCCCAAAATGTGGAGCCTGATGTCTTATCTGTTTCTTCTGATGCCTCTGAAATCAAGGATGAATCTGCCGGTGTTGCCAAATACAAAGATCTTCCAATTAAAACCCATTTTACTAGGGGTTCAAGTAGACAATCAGGTGAGAAATCACCTGTTGAGATGAAAACTGATAAAGAGCATACTCACTTCACTAGAACCAAGAACCAATCAAAGAAAAATCAGAAACACATTGGAATGCCTGAGCTTCTCAATAGTTCTAAGAATAATTTTGATGTTAAGTCCAGTGACAGTTTATCAAGAGTAAGTAACATATCTAAAGGTCTTGCCCATACTAAAACTGTAAATGGGGTTGAAATGGAATCTGGAGAAAATGTATCTGATAAGTCCGAAGAAATTTTCAAAAGTCCTCGCCTAATTGAATCTGTCGACAAAGGTGAACAAAAAACTGCTGAAAGGGTATACAAGAGTCCATACAGAACTGAAATTGATAAAACTCCACCGAAAATAGGATCAAAATCCAGTGAGAATGTTTCCAGGCTTACCAATAATCTCTCAAAAAGTCCTCATTTAACTGAAGTTAGTGACGAGACTACAGATGGGATAGAATACAAATCTGGCGGGAAAATACACAAGATTACTCAAAATCTTTCAAAAAGTCCCGGAATTAAAATAACAGAAAAAGGAAATACTGAATCCAAATCTAATGGGAAAAGTAAAAATCACTCCCTTGGTCATAATGATTTCAGTGAAAAACTTGTAGGTACCAAAACATTTCCTTATATATTGAGAAATTCTGAAGGATTAACTACTATACAAGAGTCAGAAGACATCAGAACACCAACAAGAACTGCTGATTGGATTAGGCAGTCTTCAGTATCTTTGAGAAATTCTAGGCAAAATGTGACCCTCAGAAAAAGTAGTCGAATTGAAAATACTCAAAACTTTACTTTCAAGAAGCAAAGTAATACTATTATTAAAGAACAACCAGATATCAGTGATAAAAATGTTGAAAATTTACAAGAAAAGTCTTCTAAAATTCCAGTTCTAAGAACACGAAGCAAATCTAGAGAAAAAACTGGAAAATCAGAATCTCGAATGAGACTTGAATCTTCAGGAGAGAGGAAGCAACTTGATGACCACAGTAGTAAAAGAAATGAAGAGTTATTGCTTCGGAATCCACCTAAACCAGCCCCTAGAAGAAGAAAACAGAGAAAGTCTCTTGTGAAATCAATTCAAAATAGTATTCCAAAAGTTGATGACGAAAATATCCAACCCAATCTCCAAACCACTCTTCAAAGCAGTAAAACTGATGACATGCTTCAGAAATATTTCACCCAAACAAATACAAATTTATCTGCAATGAAAAAACTTGAATCCGCTGAAGGTAAAGATTTTTCAGTTATAAATGCTGCAAAATCGTTTGCTGAAAGGAGTACATCACCAAGAAAAAGATCTTCAGTAATACTCAGTTGTCCCAAACAAAAAACATTTGATTTTGAAGGGGATGTAGGTACTGGCATATCCTCCCTAAGTTTTTCTCATAGTAGCCCTAGTATAGATAAGGAAGAAAGATGTCGAAGACTTGATATTCTCATTGATAAATTGTCTGAACAAAAGTCATCTGTGGACATTGGTGTGGGTTATTCAAAAAAGTTTAATACAGAACCATCTTCAAATTTGGTTGCTGCAAAGGTGTGTGTGACCCAACACAAGAAGGTTCAAACTTCTCTCTGGAATTCCGATGAAGCAAAGAGAAAAGCTAAGAAAACTTGTGCTAGAAACATATTTACCAAATCCATTGCCGAAACTGAACCTTGTGGTAGTACTAACCAGAACAGCACCAAAGTTCATACCCAAAAAAATCAAACAGATATTAATGATGACAATGAAAGTTTGTGTTCTGGAAAGACAGACAGTAGCAAAATGCTCGACGAATATGATGGATTCAATCTCTTCCATAGCTTGGAAGAGGAGCCCTTCTGTCCTGAAACATTCTCATCCTTCAAGAACTTTGATGATCCAGAGCTTATGAACGAAAGAACTCCTTGGAGGTTTGAGGATCAGTTATTATCACAATCTTCAAAGAGAATCAGCATTAAACTCAATTTCTTGAAGGATGCAAATAAAATTGAAGAAGAAAAGGCTTTGTTGAGTAAAGAAGATATAGAAAATGTTGATCACATTAACAGAAATCAAAAAAACATTTTACCAAGATTGAAAAGCACCTTTCGAGATTACACACATAAATCTACCAGAAAAAATGTATTAGAACCACCTAGGATGTGTGAAGAAAAAACTAGAAATTCATTTTCTGATTGTAGTTCTGACAATGGTGTATGTGGTGAGGATATTGAGGATCTTGAGAATTCAATGAACCATTCAAGGAGGATGATTTTGGAGGCAGAACAACAGCAGAATATTGATGGTGAAGGATGTGAATCAGAGGAAAACACACTCATTGAAGAATCAAATTTACAAAGTTCTCAAATACACAATATTACAAAATCCAGAAATGGAAATGCTCAAGGTGAGAACTTGATTTCATCTCAAACGAGTAGAGTTATGGCTCCTTCAAGGAGCACAATAATAAAAAAGGACCAGATTGTGATAACAAAAAAATCAGATGCTCAGACACAAAAAAGTAATGGTCAAAGGGCAGCTGACAGTACGGAGAAAGAAAATTATGTAAAGGAAAATTTACAAGAGGACATCAGTCCATCTCGTTCACAAAAAAATGTTGAGTCGTCAGAAGATCAACTAAAAAACAAGCCAAATGATGAAAATGATCAAGAAAAAGATAATTGTTACCACACACCTGCAAAATATACTATTAACTGTTCTAAAAATAGCTTTTCAAAGAAAGATGCAAGAACCATATGTGATATGAACCAAAGCAAAAGAAGAGTCACTGATGCTTTAATTCATAAAAATTGTGTTCAGAATGATGAGATTGAAACCAACTTGAATCAGATACATTTAAGAACTTCAACAAACAAGCGGAAGAGCAAAGATATTTTGGTGGAAACAGAAACTGAGGTAAATTCATATAGTGGCAGCAAAAAACATAGTTTTCAAATTGAAAATAACAAAAAAGTTGATTCAAGAGGGAAGTTTTCAGAAAATCTTTCACCAGCTCCTGATTTGGTCACGGGGAATAATCATCAGAGTCCAGTTTGTCAGTCTGAACCCATTGAAAATGTAGCAGATAAAGACACGGCTGAATCTTTTCTTGGCACACACAATAAGCGACAATTATCTGTTATCCTGAGAAAGTTTTCAGAAAAAACCATTGGTAGGAAGTTGCATGAAATTCAGCGGATTTTGGATGGTGAAGAGGAAGAAGATATGGAACTACTTTCAAATAAGAATTCGCCTACTGAAAAGAATCAATTTGAAGGTTTCAATGATTTAGCCGTTCCATTGGGTCAAACTGTGATTTCAACAATTTTTTCTGAAGGTGGTGATAATGCCAATGAAGAGTCTCAGCCTGGCAGTAATACAAAGAATCTCAAATTGAAAGATAAGAAGAATACTGATGAGACAGTTTTCAAAGTTCCAAAAACGAAATCACATAAAACCAGAAAGAGGAATTTCACCAATGAAAGTGATGGTAATATTAATTTTTGTGGGTGACTTTCAATATATTTACTATATGTAATTTCAGATGTTACTGTTGACAGCGAAGCTTCCTCTCTAACAGGTAACGATGAAAAAGTAATTCTTAAATTAGAAATTATAATGTATACAAGGATGGTAACGAAAATTTAAAGATTTTCAGTAAGAGTAATATCAAAGTCTAGTGAATGTGTTGAGAACACTTTTCCGTCACCAGATCAAAAATGCAAACTTGGTTAGCGAAACGCGCCTCGAGAGACAGCATTTTTGTCCCGGCGAGGAGAAGCTGTTTTCAATAGATTCATTTTACGCCAGAGGTTCCAAATTCTACTTATCAATTTTCAGTGATTTGTAATTTGAGGTATATCAATTGCTTAAAGCATGGTTCAGTTCTTGAAATTTTGAAAAGCTAGAAGATAAAATGATTACAACAAAAGTTGTCATTAAATTGAACATCTTAAAACCGGAGGTTCAAAGCCAATTTTATACATATTGATGAAATATTTCAAAAGGTTTGAAAAACAAAAAAACTAATCAATAAAGTTTATTCCATGATTTTCACTATAAGGGTTTTACAAAAACCGTGACACGTGTTTCAAGCATGCTTGAAGAAGCTATTGTATAGCGAAACACGTGTCGCGGTTTTTGTAAAACCCTTATAGTGAAAATCATAGAATAAACTCTATTGATTAGTTTTTTAAATATGGATTTTCATCAAGTATCGGCCAGTTCTATTCAAAAGGTTTGAGCTATAAGAGTACAAGAAATATTGAGGAAAATAAAAACTTTCTTTAAATTTTCAAAACAACTGAAAATATCAAAATTTGTTAAAGAAATTATATCTGCAAAGGCTCTCAATATAAATAAATACAATAGAACACGATCACTTGATGATTGAAACACATGTCGAGGTGTTAAAAATAACGTTTTGGTGTTGGGATTAAACTCCAGTAATATTCATTACAACACCAAAGGTTCCAAACAGTGCATCACAAGTACAATAGAACAGTTTATAACAATAACTTATTTTTACAAACATTTTCAGTATATTCATTTCTAAATTTTGCTAGTTCAGGAAATCAATCGAAATCTAAGAAATTATAAATATTTTTTTGCTAATTTTGGAGAAGGTTTCATTTAGTTCGTGTTTCAATTCATTCTTTTTCAGTGTTCAAGATTTTTTGGAATACTTTCCATTGCAATGCATTGATGTAGTAATTCTATGGTTCTCAAAGGATCCTGACTATAACATTTGACAAGATAATAAAAAAAAATTGTCATTTCTGTTTGTCCCTCTGTCATGCACACTTCTTTGTCATCAATTGTCTCTTGAGAAAATTAAGATAGCAATTTGAAATTTGAATGGATAGGAGGAAGAGACGCCTTTTGATTTTAATTTGTAAAAAAGCAAAATATTTGATAATATAATAATAATGAACTCTATAAAATGTTCTTCCTTTCTAGGTTTTAGTTATGAGAAAAATAGGTATTTCAACAAATTTGAGACATTTGGCAATCACTTTACTCAATTTTTACAGTTAAAAACTCCATGATTTGTTTTTTAATTACTTGACTTACTGCACGAAGTGTTCTGGCGATGTATTGAATCTATTGGAGCCTCTGGAGACTCCCTACATTTTGTTTTATGAGAGAGAAGACATTGGCAAATCAAGATCTTTAGATGATGTGGTGCTGCAGATTTTTCCGGGTTTTCCTGCAGCTGAAAATGCAAATGCACCACTGGAATCAATAAAGTCGCCCCGGAGCACTAATTAATTTTTATTGTTGTTTTCATTTTTATCTTCGAAGATAAAGTTCAGTAATTCCAATAATTTATTTGTTAGTAGAGATAATTTATTTGATATTAAAAAATATTTAGGTACGAGGAGATCTTGCCGAGATAGAAAACCACCCAAAAGAAGATATGTGATGGAATTTCTAGATGATGTAGTGACCTCAAAACCACCAAAGAAGCCAGTCACACGTAAGTAACAAACCTTTACTGAAATGCCTACATCACCTTTATGAATATGCATGGGTCTTGTTCTAATGGGCATTAGTAAATGTAGAATAGAATATACACATCATTAAAAATATAACAGACATTTTTCATACATGTACAGTCTATCAAATAAGTCATAAAACACAATCAATCAAGGTATACTTTATTGTCGATAGAGAGAAATTTTTATAGACAAAGTTTTTACATTAGAATACATGCTAGTTGAAAGTATACATTCCATGTATTTAAGTAATACTTTATTAACAATAAATTGATGGATGTAGCCGTTACTGTATGGTAAGAGATCGTCATGAAAAAGGGGAAATGAAACTTTCTATGTCTTTTACCACTTGTATTTATAACTAACGTTACTGCTGTTGTGTGGGACAATGTGGCCGAAATTTCTTGAAACGGTATGCTGAACATGAAAGGTCCTTCAGACTAGGGAAAAATGATTCAATGTTTTCAAACCATTCCTTGGAATGCAACCACAAGTTCCCGATAAACAATATCGAAATTTTGCACTATGCAAGCAAAGTTTGGAAACTTAATTAATTGGAATCTTTGGAAGTTCATAAGCATAAGCATTGCGGATGTAACCTGCTAAAAAATCAAATCGATTTAGTTCACTCACCAGGTGTCAAATTAGCTTACTCACATTGTTCAGGTTAACAAAATTCAGGTATTCAATTAAGTTAAGTACTTATGTTATTACCTTCCTTTATGTCAGCATTAATTATCCTATGTAGTTCGGTTATACTGCCGCCATGCCCAGCAAGAAACGTAAATGTCCCTAATATAATGAGCATTGTTGAATCGTTCACATATAGTAAAAAAAGAATACCACCAAGAACGGATCAAGTTCAGGATTGAGATTTACTTGATGCTCCAAGAAATCCACGTCTGTGGGCCCCGTATCCTTAAGTAAACTAGTAGCGGTCTTAAAAAAATACATATTCAATGCAGATAGATGGATTTTTCATAAACTACACCTTACAATATGATCTTCACAAACTTTATTTTCAGAAATATATCACGACATGTTTCGCTATCACACTAGCTTTTTCAAAGCTTTTTCACTATGAAAAAGCTACTGTAATAGCAAAACATGTCATGATATATTTTTGAAAATATAGTTTGTGAAGACCAAATCGTGAGTTTATGAAATTACTATGGATCTTCATCAAGTAATCAGAAAAAAAGCACAGAGGTGGATCATAATGCACTTCAAAATATGTAAGAAAGACGAAAGATATTTGGAGTAGGTATTACATACAATGAAAATGTTCTCAAGCTTTTATACCACAGTTTAATTCAGTCAGTAATTTCCTATGGTCTTGAACAGTAGGGCTTATCAGCTAAAGCTGATGAAGTTTTTGTTATTCAGAAAAAGGTAATCAGAATTCTGCCAGGTGCATCTTCAAGTGAACATTGCAGGCCACTATTCATTCATTATAGTTTATTAACAATGCCTACTTTGTATATCTACCAAACACTGGTATCATACAATAAACTGTATTAATGATTTCTTATAATATCTTGCTGACTTTATGAAAGGTTTGCAAAATTTCATCCTACATAACCAACATAAGTACAAACTAGAATTCCTGTATTTCATCTGACAAATTAGGTGCTTCCCTTCTGGTTTCTCCTTTTTGCATGACATCTACAGAAATGACTTTTTGGAATAATTTCATTACATGTCAGAAATGGATTTATTGAAATAGTTAACCCTAACAATAGAGCTAAAGTAACATTTTTCGTGCGTTTATAACACAATGAACCTAACATAAAAATTGAATTTCACATAATGAACATGTGAATATGTATGAACAATAAATAGGTAGCTTATTTTATTAAGTGTCCACTGTAAGACCAAAACGTTGATAGCTTATATTCATGGAAACTCTTTAAAACAATGATTTCATATTGCGTTGATTAGTTCTGGCAATGTATAAACTATTTTTTTTTATTATTATTCAACGGGACAAGCCCAGTATAGAACACAAATAATTACACATTGTCACAATTAGAAAGAGATAGCAAATATATCAATAATTTTGAGACAATGAGACATTAGATATCTGTTTATATATTTCAGAAGTGATGAGATGAAATAGTATGGTTTACACATTAGCAATTAGATGAACAGCTTAAATAAGCATTATATAAAATAAAATATAGTTGCACATTCGGGTAACATTCAAAAAGAAAGTCAAAATGTTTATGAGACAACATGCAGGATGAGACTAGTTTTAACTCGAGTAACGAGAGACTTAAGAAATCTAATTGTTCATAAACTCTTGCGAGTCTTTGAATATGGGATAGACAGCTATCCTAGGGCTATGATATTGTTTTTGTATACATCTGGAAGAACCATCACCTCACATAATGAGAGTCAATAATTAATTCCTAGTATTACTCATTTTGCTATTTTGTTATTGATCCAAATGTTAATTTTTACCCACTAACTTGGTTAGAGATAGTATTTTTTTTAAGTAAATATCATTTATAAGTTTCATTATTTATTGTTACAGGTAAAACGAAACTTTCAAAAAGAAAAAGTTCAGAAACCGTTGAGCAACAACAAGAACATATCATCGAAGTAGAAGAAAAACAAATTGAAGAAAAAAAAACTTCAAGGAAGGAAGATCAACCGAAAAAACGCATAACAAAGACAAGAGGAAGGAAAAAAGGTATTACTCCTACAGTTACTCTCACATCAGCACATAGTTCGGATGAAAAAGACAGTGATTCAGTAAAGGAACTTGAAGTTTCTAACAAAAGACCTAAGAGGAACAATAAAACGAAATCAGATTCGATTCAAATTGAAACTGTAGCTCAGATTCATACTATGAGTCAAGTCAATAGTTTCAATGCAATTGATACTGCTTCCAGTCATAGTCCAGAAGATTTCAACAACTTTGAAACTGTGGAAGATTACCAAAATACAGACGATATGTGTTTGAGAACATCAAACCAAGAAAATATGATAAGTCAAGATTCTGGCACCTCAACTTTATTGAGAAGTAATACTTTTGAGGTTAGCAATTTACAAACTACCAAGACACAGGGAAAAATTAATAAGCCAAAAAACAAGAAAATATCCAAAGTATGTTCACAATCTGTTCCAGTGCCTCAGATAAATGAAGTTAACATACCAAGTAATGAAGATGGAAAAATTATTTCAGATTCTCTTATAGAGAATGAATGTGTAGAAATATTATCTGGTTCTGAAGTTATTAAACTAAGTAAGTTTGCAATTTCTGTTGTTTATATAATGAGTTATAAAATTGGAAACACATATTTATCAAACAATTTTAGATAGGTTGTACATCAGATTGAATTATACGCGGCGTGTTCCATTTAAAATAAACATTTGAAATAAAGTTGGGATTGGTCACTATTACATGACATATATATTGTTTGTTTAAACACTGATTATCTGTAACAATAAGGTCGTGCATCAAATAATATATTGTTCAAGCTAAATTAGAGTGTATAAATGAAACATAAATTAATTTTCTAACATATGAGACATAGCGAGTTTTACCACCACTAATTAACCGCGTTTCACCACAAAGGAAGAAACTTTCTTGGATGTGTAACTTTCCATTGTTATTTAACTAATTTGTTAGAAAAGGGGTCAGAAGCAAGAGTTTTAACACAATATTATTCTCCAAGTCAACTTTTCATCTCAAAATCTTTGGGATTATCTATTTTAAATATACTTGACTCAGAATAATATAAGTTTCTATCTATATTTTTCAAAGTCCTTTCAGTCAAGATTTGTGAATTAAGATTATAAATACTAGACAACACAGTTTTCTTTTCTAGTATGCATCACACTCTGAATCAACCCATGACCACTAATCACCACTGCTTTGACACATAAATGCTGATGGTGAGGGGAGAGTGTAGACTTCGTGGAAAGTATAATTAACCTCTGACCCTTCAGTAACGCAGTAATGTTACAGATAAAAAATTTGTATGTATTTGTATTTATAGGTGGGGCTACCGCCCCACGTGGGTGGTTTGCTCCACTCACTCAATCGACCGCTGTGTAAATCGATTTCTAGCCGCGAGGCCGGACGATCGATTTTCACATTCTATCATTCAACCCGTGCTACACACGTTGAAAGGTAAGCTCTCGTTAGTCCTTAGCTCGCACAAGTTTCGATTTTTAAGAGTTGTCGTTCGTAGGAGGGCAACAGCTGGTTAATGGAAAAATAGATAGATAGATATATTACATACAGAACTATTGAATGTTTTTGTATTTACTCTTAAAAAGGGCTAAATTCATGAATTACTTTACAAAAGTTTCAATCTGTATTCACAGTAAATTATGTTTTCAATTTAGAGTTTCTTAAAAATCTGCTTATTCATCAGACGTTTTCAAATAAATGATTAGGTAAAGGTATTCATAAAATAAGCTGTGAAATAATACTTGAAATAAATGCTCAAAATTTCATAATCCTCAAATCCTGATTTGTTTTTCAGAATATGTAGAGAATGACCCCAAGTTCAGAGTATGTCAGGATGACTTGTCTTTGACTGATTTTATGGGGAATGTCAGTGGTACAACTATGGGATATTTAAAACTGCCATCCAAGGGAATGAAACCAGTACACACTGCTAGAAAACATGCATTAGTAAGTGGTTCAAACATATGCTGGTTTGCCTTGAATAATATTTTCTTTCTCGGTTACGAATATTGTGAATCGAGTTTCTTATGATAGTGTAAATGGTGATGAGACATCTGGAATGTGAATTCTAAATGGGGGCGTTGCAAAAAAAAATCATTTCCAATAATATGGTAACAACTTATCGCAGCTGCCAATTAGGTATCCTTAGTATATTGATATGACGAATGTTTTTCTGACAGGATACACTTTCTTTTTTAGCAACTGTACTGTATAATATTTCCAGCTTTTGTTGCCGTTATGGCATTTATTGTAAGCTAGGTTAGATAACAAGTTAATTCTGCTCGCCACTAACATTTTTAATATGAATATTTTTAAGGAATTTGCGAAAAATAAGCAGGTAACAGGTGTCTCAGGTGGGTAAGTAGGTCCAAAGCATAGAACTATAACTTAGAGGAGAATGACTATTCTGTATGAATAAAACACTTGCACTAGTAGATGACACATAAGGTTGGTGAGTTTGCACAAATGAACTCGAGTCAGAGCCGTACTAATACTTTTTAGAAAAATATTAAGAGCTGTTAAAAAATGAGAGGTTAAATATGACGATCTAATTCTACACTAAATCACTTATTACATTTTCAAAACAAGGAATTATTTGTGATCATTATTTAAGAACCAAGGTTTGAAATATATATAGCTGCTGTCATCAGATGAACAGGGTGAATTCAAAGTCTTACTGGTGATTAAATAAAATTAATTTTCCCAGAATTTTTCTCATAGGTTGACCTCTGATTCTGTAGCTTTGAGATTTTGCCACACTGAACAATCTTATTTTTAATATGATAAAGACAATGTTTTGATAATTCTTGAAATGTGGTTTTCTTCCAGAGTAAGATACTGCAAATTATGGTCTGCAATATTGCTGAATAAAGGTTTATATAACAGTTTAGAATGAACTCCAGCTACAAAAGTTTTAAAAAAATTCGCCTCTTCAGGTACCTCATTATTCGTTATCCAAAACATTTCTCTGAGCATCTTTTCCACTTCATTACAAACTGAGATAGTGCTCTCTGATGAATGGTTAGGGTTCCTCATCGCTTTCGCAGAAGTTTTAAACTATTATGTTTCAAATTAGTATCCATACAGGCACTCATTGCACACAGAACATTTAATCAGTTTCATTAGTCATATTAACAGCATAACCAGTCACATAAGTAACAACATTTTCAGAAATTTCTGAAAGCAGTAACTGAATAGGTAAGCTGTAATCGTGGTCATGGATAACAGTTTCATGACGATCTTCTAAAGAATATATTTTCATTATTTGAATATCGCATGATTGTGGAGGAACCTGTGTTCGCTTTATTTTCTTTGTGGTACAGAGAATATTTGTTTCATCTTGGGCTGGGCAATTACCATTCATGTTTTTTATGTCATGATGAATGAAAAAATTGGAGTGCAGATGGATTGTTATTCCAACCATTACGAGATCTGAAAATAAAAAAAAGTGTAATAATTTAGGTTCCTTATTACTTGGGTATGTGTAGAATTTTCTTTAGTGTAATCAGGGCATCATTCAACACCACAAGCCCTTAGTGAGTTGACACCATTAGTAAAAGAAAAAGATGCAAAATCTGAAATGAGACCAGATAATGTTTTTTCAAGTAATTTAGTACTCAATACATTCTTTTTACTGACGAAATCAACAACTTCCTTCAAATGAGTCACTTTTTTCCTTAGTCTTTTAGTTTTCTCCTTTTCTAATTGGCGTTGGTACCTCGAGTCCTGATTTTTTTCCTTTTGTTCATGTATTTAGTTTTGAACTTATCAGGAGAAGAACTGAAAAAATTGTTTGATATGTAAATATCTACTATGAAAGTAAAATATCTGAAGATAGTCAAAGCAAAGCATATATTACATATATGGAAAATGAGGCGTTTTGAAAAAATATCTCAATTCAATATTATATAATACCGAATTCATATATTTATGAAAATACTGACGCATATGTATGGAATATCTTGACCAGATTTCTGTTTCTCTTTTGAACTCCCTTCAGTCCAGCACTATCAGCAGAACTCCTGTAATTCAAGACAATATTATATTTCTGTCATGCAACTGAAATGCAATATGAATAAATCATGTCTCTTTGAAAAAATAATTTCGATTATATGATAATTTCAAATGAAAATATATACTAACTGACTCACATTGTCACAGATTTTGATGAAGCTGAATTACTGGATGAAACATTGCCTTCGCCCATTTTTGAATCAATATTTGATGGATTTAGGTCTCTGAAAAAGAGAAAGTGATGCAAGTAAGTCTTCATATGATGTTTACGTTTTCACACCTCAAAACGGGTCTTGATGAAACTGTATCCAACTGTGACCTGCAAGTAACGTTTTTTTTGTAGGAATAGTTTTGGAATTGCGTCCCTTTTCAGTAAGATCCTTTTCTTTTTCCTTAGAAAATCAGATTTCGCAAAGTGTCTAGAACATTTCACATTTAATGGGCTGATATTCTCTTCTGGACTCCTTCCAATTGCTGTTAGCCAAAGAGAAAAATGACGTTTGCCAAGACTAAAACTGAAAATTACGGAAAAAAGTATGCATCAGCAGATGTTTTTCAATTGCAATCATTAAAAAGGTTATTGAAATAATCAAGTACGGTTCTGTTAAAATAAAAATGTTACTGATGAAAGGAGGTTCCTGCAATGTTTTCTTTACTTTGGCATGATCAAACAAGACAAGTATTAGGCATTTTCAATAAAGTTCACTTTGCATCAAAATTAACAACTTGTAACACACACACCAAATAATAAATTTATAATAATCAGCATTCAACTGCAGCTTGTCAATTCAAATAACAGTCAAGAAACGCTACTGCGCAAACTCGCCAACCTCTTGTGGCACCCACTAGTGCAAAAAAAAGTGTTTCATTTATACAGAATAGCCATTCTCCTCCAAGTTATAGTTCTGTGGTCCAAAGTGTGCGGGTCTATTGGACCCTCCACCCTCACGCCTTTTCAAACTCGACCAAATAAATCCAACTTCATAGTGAAGCCGATTACTTCATTTGGTGAGTGATTTTTCAAGTCACCTGGCAAAAGTGGGACTTTGTCAAACATTGAATTCCTGATCAGATCCGCTGTGGGGCAGGTAGAGTATGTGCTCCGCTTCCAGGGTTCAAATTTCCTTGTGAGGAATAATCCACTCCAAGGTTGACAGACAGATTGAGAAACTGGTTGGCAGTCAATCTGTGACTACCTTTGGTTGGTACATACTGGGGTGCATTCACAAACTAGTCTGTCATTTTGAGTGGTCCGTCATATTGGATTTAGAGTGATGTCTTTGTATTTCGTATTTTTTTCAACAAAGCCTATTATTTGATACCTATATCATTGAGGCGCATACAAAACTAGTCCGTCATCTTGGGTGGTCACCCATAGTGGATTTAGGGTTGACGATTTGTTCTTTTTCAAATTATTTTCAACAAACGATTTCATTTGATACCCATGGGGGTGCATAAAAAAGTAGTTCTCCATCTTGGGAGGTCTACCATCTTTTATGTAAAGTGACGTTATTTCATTTTTCATATTCTTTTCATCAATTCCTTTCATTTGAGAACTAATCCAGGAAGTTGGAGTGGCAGTTGGAGTGACGTTATTCTTTTCAGCAAGCTCTTTCATTTGAAACCCATATCAAGGTAGTACTTGAAAAATTATCACGTCATTTTGGGCGGACAGCCTTGATGGATTCAGAGTGATGTCATGTTATTTTTCGTATTCTTTCAATAGCACACCCTTTCATTTGATATCCATATCATGGGTGTGCATAAAAACTAGTTTTTGGCGGTTAGCCATATTGGATGTAGAAAGGTATCACTTAGCTAATCTTGCGTTTTCATTTATGTTTAAAATTTTCTATAATTTTAGTGCTATTTTGTATTAGAAGGCGAAGGAAGAATTCAAGTTCACAATAGAACTTCTACAGTTAGGAAGATGAGTCATTTCTTTATACCTCTGGGTAAGTAATTTTCGTATTTACACATGCAAAAATTTGTTGGTATTGCAATGTTTAGGGTTTATTGAATATCAATAACTTGTAGACTCAGAAGATCAATAAGAGGAGTTGTAGATAACTTGTAAATATCTTTAGTACTTTCGGAGATATAATATATAGATCATGAAGTTTGATTTTAGTTTGATGGTCACTTTTCCCTATAACATTTTTTATTATCAAAATCTAAGATTTCTGCCTTGGTGCGGCAAGCCGGCATGATTTTAAGATTCGAGAGTATAGAGGGCATTATTCCACCAGAGACTCCAATAGTCAGAACAACGATTTTAACAGAGTGGTCTGGGTAGGGTTCTAAGAGAAAATCTTGATATTCCATTCCATTTTCCTTTTTTTTTCGGATCATATTTGTCTCGCCGGAAACTTAATACTCCACATAATAGTCGGGTAAAGTTACATCAGGCTCATTAGTTTCTGTTAGCCTGAAGGTGAGAATGAGTAGTTCTAATAAATGCATCACTTCTTATTCTCCATAATGTATTCAATATCCCCTGGAGCCTATGGCAACAGGCATACTCCTATGGAAATACATCATTTTTGGGCTCTTTAAGTCAGTTTTGATACCGTGAACATTGAACAGCCATTTTGTTTCTTCTTGAATCCTAGTTTTGATGGATTCTTGGATTCATAGATTCGGTACCACAATTGAAAATACTTTTCATTATACGGTGATTCCAATTAATTTGTTCGAAGTAACATCACACAAATTCATAGTAATTGTTTAATTTTTTAAGTAATTTCAATATTAAAAAAAATTATAGCATTATTTCGGTCCTAGTATTCTGAAATCTTCATTCATTTACCTTCCCTTGGGTTTCAAATCTGTGAACCCCAAACGTGCTCACCTTATAATACTTTTTTGTGAACCAATGATGCTGTTTTGCTCAAAATCAGTGGTTGTTCGATCAATTTGGAACTGCATGTTCAAAAGTTACATTATTAAAACACTTTTGAGTGTTTCTACAATAATTGGTTTCAGATATTTTATTGTATGAGTGGATAGAACATCTCATATAAATTCACCAAATGAATGTTTCGGTTGCAGCTCAGGTTAGAAATGTAAAGTAAATCATAGCCTAAGTGGTACATTAGGTTTACTCAGATTATTCAAACTTGAATTCCTTATAAATAAAAGTTCTATCATAATTGGCTATTGGAATTAGCCGCGGTGGTAGTGCGCCCGACTCACAATCGGAAGACTGTGGGTTCGATTCCTGCCTCGACCAGATATTTTTCTCTAGAGAATTTATCTGGTTGAAGCTGGGATGATTCTGCAACCGTGTTAGGAATCACACGTTGAAAGGTAAGACCTCGTTAGTCCTTAGCTCGCACAAGTTTCTCAACTTCTGAGAGTTGTCGTTCGTATGGGGGCGACATCCGACAACGGGGAGTTTGGATTGTCTACATGACGGAATGGTACTGGATGGAGTCTGTGAAGTCGTCAGGAGTTCGGATACCCTTCTCTGCATGGTCTCTTTAGGGCAGCTGCCCGAGTAGCTGGTGAACTTAGTTTAGTTTTCGACACTGAACAAGGTGATCACAACTGTGTTACCGAGTTGGAACCCGTTCAGCAAAAGGCCCATATAAAAGCCACAGAGATCACTTCACTTCTGCGGCAGCACAAATGTCTTTAACAACATTCAAGACCTTGGCTTATTAAAGCGCCTGACCTTCACTTTTCTTAGGGTGAGTGGGCTTAAGTCGGAAACTGAGGGATGCAGGATGACACTTTCAAAACCTTAGTCTACCACAGTTGCGTGATGGGTATAGAGGTTCCTGACACAAGATGCAGCGCCTGCCGCGAGGCGTCTGAGACTCTAATGCACTTGCTGTCAGCATGTCATCCATGGCACTTTTACGGTATTGACGAGACACCGGGGTTGTCTTACGCCCCGGGAATATTCAATCCGTTGTGGGAAACGAGAAGTTCCGAATTTATTGGAACTATTTGATCCCCACCCTCAGGCTCATACAAGCTAATGAGCCTGATGATGATGTAGTCTTTCTCGACCACCAGAGCAAGACGATATTTGTCGTGGAGTTTGCAGCTCCTGGCGAGACGAATATCGCCCGAAAAGAGGAAAAACGGATGAAATATCGAGGTTTTCTGTTCGAACTCCGCATACCACTCTGTCGAAACGTTTGTTCTGATTATTGGAGTCGTTAGTGGAATGATGCCCTGTCTACTCTCGAATATCAAAATCATGCATAGAAGTCTTAGCCGGACAAATGCAGTAGGCTGACATTCTTGGCTTACTACGTTTACTCAGGGCACATGATTCTTGATCCAATGATCATTTACCCCACGGTGTGGGGAGTGGTCGTTGGTTGATAATGTTGGCGCGCCCTCCTGAATGTATCGGGGCTTCGGAGGATAGGGCCTGACCAGTGCAAAGTTAGGTTAAAATAAGGGTCTTTATTAATTTTCATTTGTATTCATACAAGTGAACTAAATAAGTAAATGGGCGAGATTGAGTATGGCAAAGGCACTGGAAGGTGCAGACCGCCATCTGTGCAACATTCATGAATTTTAATAAATGTTGTTGTTTCAGGTGTTGAATATGCCATTATGAATGATGGTACAGATGATATGCTGTTGGCTTGTGTCAGAATAGTAAGCACGTGAATGATATGATTGACCCCGCAATTTTTTTATAGATTTTCCTATATGTACTTTTTGGGATTGTTTCATTCAGTTAATTATAGTAAACCATTATTTTTCAATGAAATCAAGATTCATAAACATTTTATAAAATAATGTTATTTTTTAGTTATTTGTTCTGTTATAGTTAAGGATCAATAAATACTTCTATATTTTTGACAATTCATTCCACATGAATATGATTTATATCATGAGTAATATTCATTTGTAATATAATGCGTTGAATATTCTGAAAGGTAGAATCTACACATTGGAACTGTTTTTCCAACTGAGTTGACCACATCAGGAGATGATCTGAACTGAATAGTAAATATCTTATACATATTGTCTGAATGTTATATTTGGGAAGGTACATAAATTATGACTAAATTTGTCCAGAAATATTATTTCTTTTAATAAACATTCAGAATGACTTTTTTCAACTCATCAGTTCTCTTAATTTGAACAAAGAATGTGANTTATTATTACTAGATAAGAGAACGTCACATATTTGAAAAGTTATCGAAAATCACATTGAACCCAAATCGAACTTTCTAGAACCGAGAATATATCTGGGAGAATACAAACATAAAGATGAATCTGTTGATGATTTTGGAGCAAGATAAGGCTCCAAACAAACAAATATATTTATTCAGAGTAAGAGAAAGTTGTCAGAAATATTGATCAAGTAATAGCAGGTGTAAAGCACACATCACTTTTGGGAACATGAAATTTTTAGTCGAAGTGAAATTAAGCCGAAAATCTTTCATAATTTAGAGAAATTTCAAGAATGTTTTTTCTGTTGCAACTAGGGAAGAAATAATTCATTCATCAACAGACGTTTTTGTTCAGCTTTCGGAATGTATTGTAGCAATTATCATAGGTCAAACCACTGGAAGAGTATGTATCTATCATCTATGTTTTCAATGCAATGATCTAAACTGAAATCAATAGTGATTGTTATTCACACAGACACATCCATGGATAGTCTGGGTTGATGTTCAATGCAGAGAGGAAAACCAGTAGCTTATGCTTCAAAAGGTTTAACAGAAACAGAACAACACTACTCTTATGATAGAAAAAAAAATGTTAGACATGTATACTCAATGAAGCGAAGAAACTTTTGAAATATGATATATTATTTTAATATCTTTCTGGTAAATTCTCACATGTAGGGGATTTTTTATCAAGACATATTCGCAATGAAGCTGTGTTATCACAAATGCTTTGTTTTTGGGCTCTGGTTCGAAAAATAGACTATGTTGTAGATATCTTAAATATTTTCAATATTTCAAGCCATTTTGGCCAAAATTATGCCATTTTCTGAAAAAATCAATCAGCAATTACTTAGTTTTCGTTAACTATTGATTGGTTTACTAATAATTGATTGTTTAACAACGTATATTGGTTCTATGGCATTTTTTTAATTTAATTGTTTCTAAGATACAGGGATAAAAAATTTGAAATTTTTGTTTCAAAATTCTATGCCATATGTGAAGTTTCTCGCATATTGATGCTGCATTATTCTTTCATCCTGAATGGCACCACGAAATGCTGCCAGTTCTTGGCTGAATAAAGAAAGATTAGAAATCCGAACTATTCTTTCATCCTGAATGGCACCAAGAAATGCTGCCAGTTCTTGGCTGACTAAAGAAAGACTAGAAATCCGAACTCGCGAAGTCATACAAACTCAGATCTGGACCGTTTGAATTTTCCGCCGTTCAGTTGTGTCTCCTCCGTTTATGTTTATTGTACGAAATTGGTGCATCCTATGAGGATGCAGTTTTGTCTCATCATCTGTGTAACACACATATCAAAATTATGTAAGAGATAGCGCAAGCTTCCCGAATTTACATTAATCATTGAAATATTCATTGATGACACCTCTATTATGTTTTTGTGAAAAAGTTGAAAATATCCAAAACTTTCATAGAATGATTGTTGTGAATCTCGGGTCTCCACTGCAACCCACGACGGTTTATTGTGACCCACACCTATTCAAACTCGGTCAAATAAATCCAGCTTCTTGAAGAATTCAGTTAGATGGTGAGATGGAAAGAGTGAAACACTCAAAACTCGATTCGGTCCACGACATGACAGGTATGGAGTATGTGTTCTGTTATCTCCTAATCTTCCAAATGAAGACGGCGCACACTGTCTTGGACAATTCAAGACTCTTCATATGATGATTTAGACTACAGTGACCTGTAAGTTGGCAGATAACGGAGGTCATTCCTGTTTTTTTTTGAAAAGTTGAAAATAACCAAAACTTCCATAGAATCAGTTTTGTAGATCTCCTTAGGTACTAAACTATAGTAAAACCATATTTTTTAAACAAGCCCTCCTTTACTTCTTGTTTATCCACACAGATGAATCTCGCGACAAGCTTTATTTAACATAAATTGTGTAATGTAATGAATGAATGGTTTTGATTTAGTTTAAAGTTAATTTTCTTTTTAAAACGTGTAAATGAAAGTTTGTTTTGAAAGTATGTTTTTTACTATTTTTTCGTTTTCGCAGGACATGTTCCTTAGCAAAATCAAGCCAAGAATGTTTCATAAATCACAGAAATATCAAGAATGTTTTTTTCTGTCGCAACTATGGAAGAAATTTATTCGTTAACAGACGTTCTTGCTCAGCATTCGAAATGTATCTCCAAGTCGCAGAACTAGGGAAAGCTTTTAACGCAAGGAAACGTTTGAGGTTATAGCTATAAACTATAACCTTGGGCGGGTTGAAGCGTTGTTGTCTGGTGTTGGATTATGAATGCTCTTTGTTTGGGCTTTATAGTTTCAATACAGAATAGTTTCATCAATGTCTAAGGATTTACCTTAGACAATGGTTTCATATAGTTGCTTTGCAGTGAAATCCCGTAGATCCCGTAAGAGATGTCATCACCTATTCTTACTTACGTCTTGTCCATTAAAGACAGTTGAATCCAGCAATGTATTTTAGTTTCATCTAGTTGCCTTGTAGTGAAAGCCAGAGTGAAAGGCAGACGATAAATCTCGTTTGACGACAAAATTAGTGTAAAGTTGCACTTGTACCTTCAATTAGTAAATCGTTCGAAACAGGCTCTCTATCTATCACTGAAAATTGTCGAAGCAAAAAACAATTTTGTTTCTGAGATTTTAGTGAAATAAATAGGTACACCCCAAATTCTCCTACCATCAGTAGATTAAAATTAAATCATGGTTGCTTTCCTTCACACCAGTTGGAAATTTGAACCACATTTTTTCGAATGTGCAAATAATCCAATTAACACATCGGAGTTTCTCACGGAGTCAATTTCACTAAATATATAATTTCCCATTGATATCGTAAGTCTAGTATCAATAGAAACAAAAATTACGACGCTATAATTAAATTTCTGAAGAATTGTTACTTAAAAATCTTGTGCAATGTATGCCCATTTCAAATTTCTGTGGCAAATAAAATACATTTTAATGTCAACCCCTCGTTCATCATCATCATAAAAATGATTTATGCACAACGTTCACAAACTGACACTGTTGATAATTCTAGATTTGATAGATTCACAAAAATAATTCAAAGAAATCGATGAACTTTTTTGCGTTTCCATACAGAACCTAAAATTTCATTTTGTCAGTGTGATCACATTTCACATTTATCTCTCAATACACACCATCACGTTGTAGAATACGTAACACTATACCGGCAGACGATTAGCGATATTAACAGTATCTAGCGTTATTTTTGAAAAGCGGTCCACGTAAATGGAATTGAGTCCTAATAAGCCATATCAGCCGAAAGAATTGCATGAAAATTCTACACGAATGGGTCGCTACACCAGTGTATAGGTATCTTAGAAACTATATATTTCTAAATGAATTGTAAGTTCAATGATTAATATCGTGTTTATGCAACAATACCTAAGAACTAAACCTGGTACAATTAGTAACTACTACATGGGCTGAAAAGTCTCGGGCCTAACATATAGTCTTAGTCTTATTGCATTCACCGCTTTTTCAGTTGGTACTAACCTTCAAAAGAATGCTGTTCAAATTTCACGATATTCTACTCATAAATTTGTGAGTTATTGCGCTAAGTGTGACACTACTTTTGTAATTTTCAAAGCAATGGATCAAAAACAATTTTATGTTTCTAATTGAAAAAAGGAAAGTAATACAAATAATGAAATTATGAAACAGCAAAAATTGGTGCTCCGGGGCGACTTCATTGATTCCAGTGGCGCATTTGCTTTTTCAGCTGCAGGAAAACCGGGAAAAACCTGTAGCATCACATCATCTGAAGATCTTGATCCAGCAATGTCCCCTCTTTCATAAAACAAAATGTAGGGTGTCTCCAGAGGCTCCAATAAATTCAAGACATCGCCAGAACACTTAGTGACACGACTATCGTCAAACTTAAACCAGTCCGTTTCTTCTTTGACCAAGGCGTAATAATGACCACANTCATCTATTTCGTACCTTCGTAAGAGTTTGGTGCTTTCGTCAGAGGTTGAGTCATGTTTGAAGATCATCAGTGTTATTATTAGATTGACTAGTGCCTCAGCTATACTTGTTTTCTTATAATAGTTATTAGTTAGTTTGGTGCATGTTTAACAATACAGTTGATCGTCACCCGTTAAAAGTTTCATTTTCAGATGATTTAACAATAAGCTTTGCACGGACTGGTTATCAGTCATACTGGAAAATGCTAGTTGAAGTTCGAGAAAATCACATACGTTTCTGCTACCTTTCGAACATGTAATACAAAGTAAAAAAGTGAGGATTTTTCCAGCAAAAGATGTACAAACCCAAGACGAGATGTTTTAATTTTATACTGCTTTTTGGTAGAAAAAATACCGTTCAAGCGAAGCAATGGCTCCATCAGAAATAACAATTAAACGTTGGTTTGCTGATTTCAAACCGATTATGCAGAACGCAGTGGACGTCCAAATGAGGCAATAACACCAGAGAACATTAAAAAAAGTGAAGTTGCTTGAGTTAGCTGACATTGTAAAGATATCAAAAGAACGTGTTGGTTTT